ATTAACTTAATGTTTCCATATCTTCACAATTTTGTATTGGTTCATTTTATATTCATGTAGTTAGTGTGTTCAAGTCTTGGTCTAACAACTATAAAACAATATATAAGTTATACAGTAATTTCCACGCGAACATTGTAATTGATAAAAGTTTGACATGGACTTAACGAGGTTAATTAAAATATTGATCACTTTTGTGATTCATATCATGCTCCTAAATTATAATATAAAAATGAAGCCCTCTCAAGACATAATCTATATTATTATATTGCCAAATAACTTTAGAAAATGGTTATTAATAGATAAGAAATTGATATATTATTTTTAATTCCAAACTAATTTATTTATTTTTTTTTGGCTGTTGTCTATAGTGAATTAGAGAGTATATTTAAATGAAAAAACTATGTTTACTCAAATATAAAAGAGATCTGAGCTATTTTCTCAAGAATGTTGTACATATTGATAAAAGTTATATATTTAAACTGGCATGACATACTGTATGGGCAAAAATCCGTATTGGACCCTTACCAAGCCCAATCACATATGGCTCTACTTTAAGTCCAGCACTAGACAACCCAATGCTATAGTCCAACTCCGATTGGTATTGTATCGAGTCCATCCCTTGAGGGTCCTTTCTACAATTTGGACCGCTCCAAAAATGGGCCCATCTATGAGTTGGGCTACTCAAAAGGGTCGGCACTCACTCTCAAGACTCCAAGTCTCATGAGGATTCTAGGACCCCAAGGACTTCGAGTCCTATAGGACTTCTAACATCCTGAGGGTTCGAAGTCTTACACAAATTCTAACTCTTTGAGTACTTTTAGTTTCATAGGAACTAGTGCTCCTAACTTCATCGGACTCAAACCCATTAGCTCCCTATACATGCAGAGGTTATCCTCTCAGAGGGGATCGACTGACAATTCTTCCCTCTAATTCTCTTGTTCTTGCTCTTTCAAGAATGATCATTCCTAAACGCAGAGTCGTGTTTCGACCACTTTACGCCAATATTCGAGCCTTAGCTCCACAATCATGGTAAACTCTATCTCGTTCTTTGCCTTACTAAACACCTGCATAATTATGCTAACTTGATACTGGGTGCCTATGGCCATAATCGCGTTGGCGTCAACTTCACATTCAGTTTTTTGTGGCCTCTACCTCTGGGATCATCCTCACAAGCATCCACGATAGATTTGACCATCTACACATACCTTAGCTATTGGGAAAATTTCACAACTCATGGTCTTAAGTTTTTAATACACTTTTCAAATAACGAATTTTAGTTTAACGATGAATACGACTTCATAATTTGATTATAAATATAATGTGAATATTATTTAGCATTAGACATGGATAAACTAGGCCCACTAATTATTTGTGAGATGGTACGTACGTGTAACAATTGTGACTGCATTACAAGTTAGCCGAGGCATATTAAATCCAGTATCGGTGCTCCTTGCACACTATTGTTCACAGCTTGGCAGTCCTTCCATTCAGCGGGAGCTTTATCTCAATGACAAGGGTTATACTAGGGGTGTACTAGGATTTCTAGTTGGTGGGGTCAAAATATCTATATTTAAATTTACAATAAATTGCTGAAGTAATAAATATAAAGTAATCTAAATTTAATTTTAAAAGTTACACATACTAATTATCAATTTTATAATTAAACCAAATCCCCAATTTCAAACCAAATTTATCAAACTCAAATTAAAAACAACAACTAATTAACCAATGCCTCAACATAAAAAGATTAAATCAAAGCTCAATTAAAATCTGGGAATTTCATCTTTCAATTTCAAACTCATTTATTAAACTCAACAAAAACCAAACTATTATCCAAAATCAACTAAAGCCAACTCATTCAACATACAAATTTCAATTACTACAAAAATAATAAAAACAAATGAGGGTAACATAACTCATGATCTTTCATCAATTAAGAAAGATAGAAAAACATTTACTTCCGATAGAGTATGATGAGAATTGCTAAATAGAACCTCAACACTTTTCTTCTTTGTCGTGTTTCTTTATGCAAAGATACATGTTTTATCCACATTGAAGCTCATTTTGAGGTGGTGGTTTTGATAATTCTTTTTTCCAAATCCCAATTTTGGCAAACTTTGTTTCTGTTTTTATGTGAAATTAAGTTCTCTTTTTAGTGAAATTATTTTAAATAAAATATTCTGTTTCTTTTATTATATAATATATATTATATATATATTTATAGAGAGAAGAGAGAGAGAAGAGAGAGAGGCGCACCATGAGGCATAAGCAAATCCCCTTGGTGCTCCTTTGCACACTATTGTCCACAGTTTTGCTGCCTTCGAATTAATCTGAAGCTTTGTCTCAATGACGGTCAATGACGCCAACCTCTGGTGGTCGTCTCTAAAGGCCATATCTGCTTTTGCAGTCGTTGACGGCCAGATCTGGCCGGATTAGTCGAATCTGGCCGGTAGTGGGGGTATTTTTATCATTTTATAAATTGAGTGTTTTGTAATTATTAACAAAGCAAAAGGATATTTTCGTCCACATTGTCACTGTTTTGGGGCAAAATTGGAAAGAAATTTGATTACCGAAGTAATATTTTAATACCACCCTCCCCCTAGTATATTATCCAGGTGATTTACCCCTTTTTTGACACTATTTGTCATCTTATTTTCCGGTAATATTTTTGTACAAAAATGTCAAATACATATTCTGGTCAATTAAACAAATAATACCCTTGTTAAAAAATTTCAACCCAATCCAAAAGGGCCCTAAGGATATTTATATTTTTACCAAACATTTATGGTGTGCAGCAGGAAAGCTGAATATCTTTTGATACACAAAAACTTGTATAATGAAAAAATATCACCCATTGTTTCACTTATTGATCCATAAAAATCCACATTAATAGGAAAGCTTAAATTGTTTATAGAAATTACATGATTCGATGGTGACAAATTTCTCATAAACTTTAGAATATTCGAATAAGAAATCTTCTTGTTCACCATTAATTAGACTTCTTGTCCAATTAAGCCATAGCACCAACTGGAACAGTGTATTCCTTGTAGGTTATTTCTTGCACACCTTCTTCACGGTTTGAAAGCAGCGATGTCCTCTTTTCTTGTGGAATCCAAAACTTACTGCTCACCGATAGGATTTCACACCCCATAAGGACTTTTGAGGTAAACCATCTTCAATTAATTATCTTTAGGCTATGTGTTAAGATTTTGTTTACTTGTTCTATTGGAATCAATTTGTATGTATTACATTGGCCACAAGGTTGTTTACTTCTCTCGACTTTCGTGTATTGGTTAGCCTAGGGCCGGCTTAAGGGTAGGCAGGTGAACCTGCCTAGGGCCCCAAAAAAATGGGGCCCAAATTTTTTATAATTTTTTTTTTTTTTTGAATATCTTACAAAAATGAAAATAGTTTATAATTTCTTATCTAAGCCAAGGGGCCCCCCAAAAAAAGCCATAAAAGCCTAAATTTATTATAAACTTTTTACATATATTCCACTCAAAGTTTAACAAAATAGCAAGTTTGTACCTCTAGTTTTAATATTCTAGTTTATACTCCTAACTAACACATTGAATCTCTTTTAACAATGGAAGACTAATAGTCATTACATATCTCAAATTACTCACCCCCAATTCAATCCCAAATTTAACATTCACATAAATCATCTCCAGCCCTCTTTTGCCACCAGTGGTTTGGAGTTTTCGGTCAATTTTGTTTCGATCGATTTTCTCACCAAAATCGATGAAATCATCATTTTAAATCATTTCCCAACCTTGATAGCCCTCGATTTGACTAATTTTTGATGAATCTCGCAACCCAACTCCACCACACGACAGCCATTTCCAGCCTTTTTGGCATGTACCCGACATTGTTGGCCTTCCTTGACACCACCTTCTTCCTCCCCTTTGCCCTCTCACCAAAACTCCTATCATACCTTATCCGTTTACTCTGCCAATCGCCAGTCATCGATACCTTTTGGGTCGTGACTTCTCAAGCATTTTCTTATCAATTTTGGCATTGGAAATCACCCATTTCACCACCCATCACTTCTCCAACATCTACTCTTCAAAACCCCCCACCAACCCAACCTTGTTAGTCTGCCGATTGCTATTCACCCCTCTTAGTGATTTTTCATCGCAAAAGACTAAAAAAAAAAAAAATAAAAAATAAAAAAAAAAATAACTTTTTTAATATATGCTTATATTATTAGAGGGCCCCAAAGTAACTCCTGCCTAGGGTTACAAATGTTCTAGAGACGGCCCTGGTTAGCCTATAAAGAGACCATTTTTGTTGTATTGGTTATAATGTTTGGGAAAGATTTTCTGTTTTTGTGGTCGTTTGTTAAAAATATGTCTTAATATCAGCCTTAACAATAATGTGATAAATGTTGAAACAAAGTTCCTTAAAGACTTTGGCTTTTAGGAGTTAAATTTCGATAAAATGTATTAAAATTGAAAAGTGACATAATTTCATATTAATGAGATGTATTAAACTTAAAAATTCAACTTAAATTTCTCTATTTTGGTAGCTAACATTAAATGATGTCAAAACAATAATAGAGATGACTGAAACCTAGACAACAATAAGTGGTACCAAAAAACATTAGTGAATTGTATCAAGATTCGGATACTAAATTAAACAAAACAACCATAAAAGGTCCTCAATAATTAGTTCAATAATAATAATAATAATAAAACCACCTTCTGTTACGGCTGAAACAACTTTTAAATAGTTTCTCTAAAAAAAAACACTAATCCGAAAAGTCAAAGGAAAAGCTAAATTAAACAATTAGAAATTCTAAAAAGTCCAGAAACTTCCAAACACACCCCTAAAAATGATAAAGCGCCCAAAAACCCATCTAAACGACTCCAAAGGCTAAAAATGACAAAACTTGTATTAATAAGCGAGAACCATAACCTATATAAGCCAGTTATTCTTTCGTCCCGCACTCTCGTAAACCTAAAATTCAAATTAAATAATAAGCGATGTCGTTGAGGCAGAGCGAGAGGACGGAGGTCCACCGGAACCGCAACGAGTTGGCGGAGGACGCGGATGAGGGAAGCCGGAGGAGAGAAGACAACATGGTGGAGATCCAAGAAAGCTTGCAGAAGAAGCGACGAGAAGGCCTTCAGAAAATTCATGCTTCTGCTGTCGAGAAGAAGGTCATTCGTAATTAGCCTTTATCGAATTAGAACTCTTTTGATTCACTGTATGTAGTGTTTTATGACTTATGAACTTATTTTGATCAAACTAGAGCTTATACTTCTGCTATTCAGAAGATGGATCAGTTTCATAATTACGCGTTGCAATCAAGCTTTATGAATTAGAGCTCTTTTTGGTTCATTTTTTTCAATGTTTTATGAAGTTAAATTTATTTATTTATTTATTTTTAACTGAACTAGAGCTTATTTTATTTGATTATAGTTATGGTTGATTTTTACTTTGTGAAGATTAAGTATGATTTTTTTGCTTTTAATGAAATTTGAGCTCCTCTGTATTGGGTAAGGTAGGTTATTTTGATTTCTTTGATTTCCTATTAAGGGTTTGATTCTAGTTTTAGGGTTTGAAGTGCTTGGAACGTTCAAGGTTTGATGAATGTTCTCATGTAGTAATTGAATGCATGATTACAGTTGGAACATCTACCAGCTATGGTAGCTGGTGTTTGGACAGATGATGGTAATCTACAGCTTGAGGCAACAACTCAGTTCCGGAAATTGCTGTCAATTGGTGAGACGTTGCTTCTTGTAATGCACATTCGGTATTCTGATTCTATGCATATTTTTATGACAACTGAACTGTATTTCTCCGTCTTTTGACAGAACGCAGCCCTCCTATTGAGGAAGTTATACAAGCTGGTGTTGTTCCTCGTTTTGTTGAGTTTCTTACGAGGGAGGACTTTCCACAACTCCAGGTTAGTTAGAAACTTTATATTTTTTTTGGTATATATCGGTATTCTAACTGATGGAGATTGTATATTTTATCTGGGTAGCTGAGGCAGTAAATTCTGATCCATTTTGTTGGTTTGGTGAGAAAGAAGAAGTAATGAAAGAGGTTTATCTATATTAGAGTGGTTTCTAATGCCTTGTTAGTATTCAACTTTGATTTCGTGTAACTGTATAAGGTGTTTGATTATATGCGTCAAAGAAACTTGTTTATAGTTTGGTTTTATTTTTTATCTGGGTAAATTTGGAACTATGAATTTTCGTGCATTAATGTGTAAATTCTGAACAATTTTGTTGGTTGGGTGGGAAAGAAGTAATGAAAGAGGGTTTATCTTTATTAGAGTGGTTTCTGATGCCTAATGTGTTGTTTGATTCGCACTAATGTGTTGTATGATTCATTTTTGCAAGTTTTTATGTTGTAAGCAGTAGATTACTAGTACTTTTATTAGGTCCAGTCAGTGCAGCTGTTTAGATTCTCTGTACAGTGATTAATTATATAAAGGAATATTATCAATGGCGATATAAGGAAAACTCAGCTTTAGAGTTTAGTAATCTGTTGTATTTGGTGAAATGCTATGAGTTTTTGGAGTTTAAGCTTTGGCGGGGTTTGAGTTTTGAACTTGACATGACTGAGGAGTTTGGGGTATATCTGGGTTATCAAAAGGAGGGGAAAAAAGTTAAAACAGTTGTTTCGCTTTGTTTATGATGAAGATTGTATCTTGGGCTGTTTTTTCTGATTGATACTAATTGATATCTCAGGTTAGTTTGTTGTGTGTGGAGTGTAGCTTGCTGGCGCTTTTTGAGTGAGTTGGTGGCAGTTTGATGGCATCCTCGGCAATAAAATCTGGGGCATTGGTTACTTTACCAGAGTTAAACCCATCATCTCAATTCTTTGAAGAAGGAGCTTCGCTAAGAGTTACTGGGAAGTAAGACTTCTCCCATTCAAAAGATTAGTACCCCTCTATTATAAATATATCTGTTATTTTTACCTGTGCATCTTTTGTTTCATGATTACGTTTTGAATAACACTAGCTGTACTGACTAAGTTCCTCCTAACACCAAGGGTTGGACTTTGTGGTAAAAGCACTGATAAGTCAAGGGTACAAATCCCCCTGAATGTGTCTGATTGGGATGTTTACAGCATACAGATTGCTAACTATTAAGGTTGTTGAGTCTGTTTGAAACCCAGATAAGAACTTGGTGGACATGTAGGAAAGGTTGAGGGATTTCTATGTATCAGGAAAAAAAAATGATTAAGATCCTCTTGTACTTCTAGATTTCTCATTAGGATTCCTGAGTTGTTGTGATTTTGGAGTTCTATTAGTATTTTTAGAATATTTTTCTCTTTTTGGATTTGAGTTGTGGTAATGTAATTGAACTAAAAATGCAAGTGTGCACTGGACCAGTTGATGATGGTAGAAAGTGTAGTGTGGTCATGTGTTGGGGGATGAAATGAGGTGTAAGGGTGGAGATGAGTTGGCGGTATCAGTCTGGTGATAAATAACAGCAATAGTGTAGTAGGGTTGATTGTTTAAAGACGGGCATACAAGGGCCTTCTGGTGGAAAGTTTGTTGGTTTGGCACTGAGTAAGAATTTATGATCAAAATCAGAAATTTTGATTATTTATCTCTGTCGCATTACTGAAGAGTGGTGCAAACACCTGGTACATTTTCAGAGTGCTGATCGTTCCTGGTGTTTGTGTTCTGGATAATTAATTTTCTTGAATGTCACATTAGTTGTTTTGATGTTTCAACAAGTCAAAAAGCAATTTGTTGAAATGCAGTTTTCATCTAGATATTAGTAACTTTTTAATCTAGATGTCAACAAAGCTATTATGATCCAATCAGACTTCCTTTTGACCAGGAAAATATCTTTATTCGGTTCCTGTAAATGATATTTAGACCATCTCTCAATGGTAATCCTTTCAGTTGTACATGATTCAGATTTAAGCAAGATTAGTTGTTGAACGGTAGTTTACAGTTCATTGTTCAACGTGGAAGCCAACAAAACCATTATTTTCCAATCAAGTTTCCTTTTGACCAGGGAACCGTCCTCCATCAGTGCCAATAAATGATATTGATACCCTTCCTCTATGGTAATCGTTTCTATTATGCGTGATTAAGATTGCATGATTAAGACATTAAGTGAGATTATCTATTGAAAGACAATAGTTCTCTAGATATTAGTAACATGTCAACATGGATGTCAGCAAAACCAGTATGATCCAATCAGGTTTCCTTTTCAGCTGGTAAATGTCTTCAGTCGGTGCCAACAAATGATATATATACCATTTCCAAAGGGTAATCTTTTCTATTATATGTGATTTAATAGCTAAATGAGATTGATTATCTAATAATTATATTGGTTTTGCTGATATCAGAGCTTGGATGATTGGCCCATGTATTGCTTTTCAAATTTGATTATTTTATTACTGTAATATCTTACATATCAAAAATAAATATTTCTTGTTTTCCTCCAGGTTACAAGAGTATTCCGTGGAGACAGCCATAGCCATAATTGCTGATGGAAGTGCCATCTTAAAGATCGACACCCAGCACCTGAGGGACCTTAGTTTTCGAGTTGGGTCCATCTATCAGTTTATTGGTGAACTCCATATTCAGCTTGACAATGAGGTAAGGGATTGTTACTATTGGGTTGAAGGCTTGCACATTGTGTCTAGCTCACTCCATGTATCATAGTTACGTTAATATGTATCAACGTGCCCTTCTGGTTTCAGGCAATCTTGCAGGCACGAGTAGGTAGGAATGTTGATGGCCTTGACCTGAACCTGTATCATCAGTCATTGCAGCTACTGAGACAGTTTCAAGCTGAGCGGTACAACAACTTAATGCAGTTATAAAATTAAACAGGCTCACTCAGAGGGAAAGGTACCAAAGTAACTTCGTACCTACATGTAGACGTGTTGAAAATGGATGATTTTTTTTTCCTTTTTTAATTCTTTCAGTATTTAACTGTTGGATCTCTACTACGAATACTTAATTCATCGTTGATATCTATTAAATGTCCATCAAAATATACGCTGTTATAATTTCTGATTTCCTCTGGAGCATAGAAACTGGGTAATCTGTTCATTTATGACAGATTCCCACCTTTAAGATTGAATATCGACAAATCTTGTTAAGAGAGTCTTTCCCCAGATAGTCAATAAGTATCTTTTAGACCACGTGTTTGACGGACTATTCCTATTTGGTTATACACAAGTAATATTGTTCTGTCAGCACCTGTAGTATTTATATATTATATACGGATACATCCTACTAAAGTAATTGTTGTTTTCAACCAATTTTTTCTAGATGATTATATAACCACCATGATATACATTTGTTAGAAGTCCTGTAGAATACACCGGTGTCAGACATTTCTCCTGCTTTAATTCTTCTGTTTGATAAACTTTGTCATGTTAGAATACGCCGGCTAGACTGGCATATCTATGTCAGGTTGTTTGTTGTTGCACATGTTTCTAATTCTGCATTATTAGTTTAGTAGGTTTGGCATTGATGACACAAATATCTGAAGATCCGTAACTTCTGGCTTTGGTTATGATTCTCTTAACTGTTTGGAAGACAAAACTCTTATCCAAGAATCCAGTAGATAAGATTGGTCAACAATTAGAGACATTTCCGAAGGAGTTTGAAAGAGCCTTAATTCAGCATATTCCTGCTAAACACTCTCTTAATCACCTGAATAAATTATCCCCCTAAACACAAACATACCCATAAGAAAATGCTTCCAAAATTAAGCTTGAAACTAGCCAATTAGGATTAGACTTCTCATGAAACTTGATTACTTCTAGCTTCTAGGGTGGGTCTTGAAAGTCAACAAGTCAACACCTACCTATAAGAAAAGAAAAAGAGACTTGTCAATGGAATGTGTGGAAATTAATGTGTCATTATCCGTACCAGCCCCACATGTGATTGTTGGGGTTACGTGTCAGCTGCTTATTGGTTTAAATTGCGGCTGTGTGGTGGTTAAGTAAATCACATTTCTTTTGATAATCGTCTTTATTAGATGTATCGTAAATTTGTAATATCTGTATAATATTATCTAATATTATTAATGATACCGTAAATACATTTTACTTTTTTTTTACTCGTTGATTATGTCCTATCCGAATAGTAAATAAATAATACATAATTGTATTTTATCATAGAAATTAGAAGGAATAATATTAATTTTTTGTCTAATCACTTAAAAATTCTGAAGCTATGATAGAATCATATAAAGATGCATATTATAAGTTTTACATTTTAGATTTATAAGTTTCACATTATAAGTTTTGCAGTTTACACTTTCATTCTTAAGGTTTGGAGTTGTACTTACCTCCAGCATTATAAGATGTGGACAGTTTTGCCATTTAATATAATTTTTCCTTGGCAACTGAGGCAATTGCTAATTAGGATATTATATAATTTAATTTTCTATAAATTTAGTATTAGTTTAATTGATATTTCAAAGTTCAACTTTTGTCTTAAATAATGTATTTTTTTGAATAATCTATATATTGCATTTATAATTGATTTAATTAAAGTTAATTTTTAATGTCTATAAACAAGTTGTTAACTTAATCTCTTACAATTCTAAAATTACTTTTCACAAATGCATGATTTCTTTTTAAACAAAATTTTCATGAAACTTTTTAAATCCAATTAAAATACTATTGTCATAAATATTTGTAAATCCCAGTAAAATAATATTGTCATTAATTTTCTGATAATATATATATATTTTTTTTTTTTTTTTTTATTTATCCTTCTTTCTCTTTTGAATTAATTATCAGTAGTGATTATTTTATCATCTTGATTGCACAAGTTTTAAATGAAAGTACAAGGAACATTTGAAATTTATTCAAGGAACATTTGAAATTGATACAACATTACTTAACGCTACATATTAAACTACAAACGATGAATCCAGAAATTTGGCAATCCTTTATCACACTCATCTCCACACCTTACACGGTCTCCCACAAGCAAGTTCCTGTATTAAGATAAAGCGGCCAGGTTATAAATATGATGTTACATGTATAAAATAATTATATTATTTCAGAAAACATTGATCCATAACATTTGCGCAAATTTCAAATAGGTGTTAATTAATGAAGATCCTAAAGGAAAAAAAAATGGATGAATAATTTAACCGAACTAACCTTGTCAAGAGAATCACTTTCGCTTAGTCTTTCTATTACATCTTCGAATAAGTCCATCAATCATCTGTAGAAACCATCGTGGTTTTCCTGTTGAGAAAACTATATATGCTATCGTTAAGCCCAGTGATAGTCCGCTTCCGTAACCCATCATAATGACTTTCCAATCTACCCAGGTTGGAATGTTGTGTTCTTCATCATGGTCTATTGATGATTCTGGTTGTGGTGTCTCATCAATATCACATTTGTTTGACAACATAAATCCACAAAGGCCCAAGTTTCCACTGTACGAGTCATTTTGGAAGGTCTCGAACTGGTTCCCCCGAGGAATCGATCCCTCAAGATGATTTTGTGATAAGTTTAACTTTGCAAGAAAGGTCAAACCTACCAATTCCGATGGAATCTCTCCAACAAGCTTGTTTGAAGATAGGTCTAAAGCTTCAAGTGCAGTCACATTTCCTAAAGACAAAGGAATATGACCGGTTAGGCTATTTTGAGAGAGATTGAGGAGTCGAAGTGAATGAAGTTTTCCAATTGAGTTTGGAATTTCTCCGTGAAAGGAATTGTTTGATAAATCAATGGCAGTGAAAGTAGTAACAATTTTCTCCAATTGGATTTCAAAACCTTTAACTACGATCGCCACTGAATCTTGATAATAGTCTTCACCCATATAATTCAACTTCCTCTTGGCTTCATCAAGATTCGCCATACCTTTTAGATTCTCAAACAACCTTGTTGGCAAATGACCCCCAAAATTGTTGTGTGAGAGATCTAAGATTCTCAGCATAGGGAAAGAACCATTAAATTTAGAAGAACCCCACTCAAAACCGTAAAAGCTGTTGAAGCGAAGAACAAGAACCTGCAACTTCGGAAGATCTCCCAACCAATATGGGAAACTATCAATTATCTTGTTGTTTCCGAGATCTAGAACCTCAAGCATGATACAATTAACCAAACTTCGTGGGATCGACCCTTCAAGTCCATTGCCATTGAAGTTAAGAGTCCTAAAATGATTGTCTCGTGCAAATATTCCAGGAATGCTGCCATGCAATCTATTTTTTCGTAGATCCAACACATGGAGACTACTAATGTTTCCCACGCATTTTGGAATTGTACCATTCAAATTATTATAAGAAAGATCTAGAATTTGTATGACACTCATATTGCACAAGCTGAGAGGTATCTCTCCCGTGAGATTGTTGTTTGACAAAGAAAACAAACTCAAGTAAGGTGGTGGATTTGGAAGTGGTCCCTGAATCAAGTTGGAATGAAGGTCTAGAAATCTTAGAGTTTTCCATGGAAGCGGATCTATGCTTGTAAGAAGGTTGTGGGAAAGATTTAAACTGTACAAAGTTTCCTTTCCTATGTCCCACATCCACTTGGGAAGTTGACCGTGGATTTTGTTGTCAGAAAGGTCTAGAGACTCCAATTGGTGTGAGCTACGTAAGAAATCTGGAAACTCACTTATGTTACAAGCCGATAATGTCAAGTACCGAAGTTTGCGAAAGGAAGAGTTATTGTTGAATATGGTACTCAATGATAGATTGGTATTGGAAAGATGAAGCCCTTCAAGTTTTTTGAGCTCTGAAAACAAGTAAAGCTCAATTCCACTTGCATTATTTAAAGAAAGAGAGAGACTAGTCAGATTCACAAGTTCAAATATTGAACCTGGAATTGACCCGTGCAATCTATTATTATCTAAATAAATAAATTTCAAAGATTTACTTTGAAATTCATCTATAGTGCCAGATAATTGGTTATAACTGAGGTCCATAAACTGTAATAAAGGTAGAGTGAATAGCCAAGATGGTATGGACCCATTGAAAGAGTTACCATATAAATTAATATAAACTAGAATTCCACGGGGACTTACTTGAGAAGGGATTGGACCAGCTAGTTGATTAGGCCCTAAGCTTAAAACAGAAAGTTGAGTTAAGTTGACAAAAACTTTTGGAAATCCACCGCTGAAATTATTGAATCCAAGATTTAATGTATGGAGCTGATCAAAATTGGAAAGAAATGAAGGGATTTGACCTGCAAAATTATTAGCTGAGAGGCTCAAATAATTGAGTTTTGTAAGGTTTCCAAGTGAAATAGGAACTGACCCATTGAGACTGCAACTAGAGAAATCCAAATGTGTCAAGTGAATGAGATTGCCGATGGAATTAGGTAATTCTCCAGGCAAAGTCATGTAAGAGACATCCAAAAACTTGAGGGGGCTACTCCAGTTAACCTTTGGCAAAATACCTGTCAAGTTGTAATTATATGCTAAATTCAGGATTTTTAAGTTGGGTAGGAGAAAGATGTTATCTGGAAACTTCCCTTGCAACTCACAATTCGAGAGACTCAAAGAAGACAGAGAAGAAGATAGATTCATGAAGGAACTTGGTACAACAGTAGACATGTTTACAGAATCAAGAAGAAGTTCTGTTAAATCGGTCAAATTTTGAACTAACCCCTTTACAGTAGCTGTTTCAAGGGAATTTTTAGAAAGATCAAGCTTGACCAATTTAGATAAGTGGGTGATTTCAGATGGAATTTGACCAGAAAAGTTTGAGTGGGAAAGGTTAAGGTGTGTCAAACTAGTGAATCGATTAAAATCAGGAGGAATTTGAGAGAGATTGAAATCATTGTAAGCTAAGTTCAGCTTTTGCAAATGATTGAGAAGAAAAAGGCTACTATTGGAAGGGATATTTCCTTGAAGCCAGCCACAACTAAGATCGAGACCAATCACATGACCTGTTAAAGAATCACAAGTGACACCATCCCAAGAGCAGCAATCTTCATCTTCTTTCCAAGACATTGTTTTAGGATAAGAAGGACACCTTCCATCACAATATGGAGAAAAAAGAGATGCATAGTATGCATAATCATCACAATGAAAGGACGAACGATTGACAAAGGAAAAGAGTTGCTTAAATTGGAGGAGTGCAGAACTCTGGTCATGAGAGCAGAGTGTTGCAGAACTTTGAGAGCACAAATATAACAACTGAATGTATAAAATTTGATAAACCCAGAATAGACAACCCATTTTTTCCGAATGATGAAATTACAAGGACATATAAGGTTATAAATAGAAAGAAAAGAAGGGTCAATTAATATTGTCTTCTTTTTCATGAATCAGTTCTGTGGTGGAGACTAATATGTGAAAACGTGGAAACTAACATGGACTGGAGTAATTTCGCGGAATCTGCTTGGTCTGAATGGGAAGTTGTCTTCTTTTTCATGAATCAGTTCTGTGATGGAGATGACTGGAAAATTACGCGGAATCTGCTAGGCCCTGAATGGGAAGTTGCCTTCTTTATCATGAAAGTCGTACTTTTGGGAAAAGCTTGCGTCACAACTCTCCAGTATCGCAAAAAAACAAAAATAAATAAACCAAAGAAACGATTACTTCTAGGATAGGTCTTGAAAGTCAACAAGTCAACACCTATCCATGGAAAAGAAAAAGAAACTTGTCAATGGAATGTGTGGAATTAATGTGTCATTATCCAGTGCACCGTCCAACGTGTGATTGTTGCGGGATACGTGTCAGATGCTTATTGGTTTAAATTGCGGCTGGGAAGGAGTTGGTGACCATGGTCCTTGCTTTGCACCGACTTCATTATGTGCTTTTATGGCGTGTCGTTTTGAGTGGTTAAGTAAATCACACGTCTTTTTATAATTGTGCACGTCTACGATACTTTTTATGGGACTTATTTTATCATTTATATAATCTATCGTAATATCTATATAATATCATCTAATATTATTAATGATATCATAAATACGCTTTACACTCTTTTTAATTGTTTTGAATAACTTACTCATACTAGTTGATTATGTCCTACCCAAATAGTAAATAAATAATAATTATTATATTTTATTATAGAAATTAGAAGAAATATATGAAACTTACGTCTAATCACTTAGAAATTCCAAAGCTATGATAGAGTCGTATAAAGATGCATATTATAAGCTTTATATTTTAAGTTTACAAGTTTCACGTTATAAGTTTTACAGTAGTTAACTTTATCTACCTCCAAATTCCAACAGTGATCTGAATTGTCAAATCATTTATATGACAACCACCTGTATAATGGGTTAAAAAAGTTTCACATTATATTTTTTTCGGGTTTTTTACACTTTCGTTCTTAAGGTTTGGAGTTGTACTTACCTTCAGTATTATAGGATAAAATTAACAATGAATATACTAGACTGAATTGAGGTTGATAGAAGTACAAATTAATGTTGTATTCTTGATTTTTACAATAAAATAATTTATCATTGAGCCTTGATCATACAGTAAAGACATATGACGTTATCAGTACTTTAGCAACTAATTTAAAGTCTTGGTGAAGCACTAAGGACGTCTTTGTCAATAAAAGCAATTAATTTATGTTAGTCTTGGTCAACCACTAAGGACGACTTAATCAATACATTGTAGTGGAATATTTACTTTATCTAATTTGATATTATTTATGTTCTACTTTAAGTGGTTGATTAGTCTTCATCAAGAAAGAAAAAATTAACTTAATGTTTCCATAAACTTCACAATTATGTATTGGTTCATTTTATATTCATGTAGTTAGTGTGTATCAAGTCTTGGTCTAACAACTATAAAACAATATATAAGTTATACAGTAATTTCCACTCGCACATTGTAATTGATATAAAGTTTGACATGGACTTAACGAGGTTAATTAAAATATTGATCACTTTTGTGGATTCATATCATGCTCCTAAATTATAATATAAAAATGAAGCCCATCATCAGAGACATAATCATATATTATATATAGTGCCAAATTAACTTTAGAAAATGGTTATTAATAGATAAGAAAATTGATATATTATTTTTAATTCCAAAACTAATTTTTTTTTTTTTGGCTGCTGTCTATAATGAATTAGAGAGTATATTTAAATGAAAAACTATGTATTACTCAAATATAAAAGAATCTAAGCTATTTTCTCAAGAATGTTGCACATGTTGATCAAAGTTATATAATTTTAAACTGGCATGACATACTGTATGGGCAAAAATCCGCATTGGACCCTTACCAAGCCCAATCACATATGGCTCTACTTTAGAGTCCAGCACTAGACAACCCAATGCTATAGTCCAACTCCGATTGGTATTGTATCAAGGCCCATCCCTTGAGGGTCCTTTCTACAATTTGGACCGCTCCAAAAAATGGGCCCATCTATGAGTTGGGCTACTCAAAATGGTCGGCACTCACTTCTCAAGACTCCAAGTCTCATGAGGATTCTAGCACCCCAAGGACTTCGAGTCCTATAGGACTTCTAACATCCTGAGGGTTCGAAGTCTTATACAAATTCTAACTCTTTGAGTACTTTTAGTTTCATAGGAACTAGTGCTCCTAACTTCATCGGGACTCAAACCCATTAGCTCCCTATACATGCAGAGGCTAATCCTCTCAGAAGGGATCGACTGACAATTCTTCCCTCTAGTTCTCTTGTTCTTACTCTTTCAAGAATGGTCATTCCTAAACGCAGAGTCGTATTCCGACCACTTTACGCCAATATTCGAGCCTTAGCTCCACAATCACGGTAAACTCTATCTCGTTATTTGCCTTACTAAATACCTGTCATAACTATGCTAACTTGAGCATTGGGGTGCCTATGGCCAATACCATGTCGGCGTCAACTTCACATTCATTTTTTTGTGGTCTCTACCTCACGGGATCATCCTCACAAGCATCCACGATAGATTTGATCATCGACACATACCTTAGCTATTGGGAAAATTTCACAACTCATGGTCTTAAGTTTTTTAAACCTTTTCAAATAAACCTAATTTTGAGTTTAACGAATGAATACGACTTCATAATTTGTATTATAACTATAATGTGATTGAATATTATTAGTAGCATTAGACATGGATAAACTAGGCCCACTAATTATTTGTGAGATGGTACGTACGTGTATATAATTGTGACATGCATTACAAGCTAGGCCGAGGCATAATTAAATCCAATAATCGATGCTCCTCGCACACTATTGGTCACACCTTGGCATTCCTTCCAATTCAGCTGAAGCTTTATCTCGATGACAAGGGTTATAATTAGGGGCGTAGCTAGGATTTCTAGTCAGTGAGGTCAAAATATCTGTATTAATAAATTTACAATAAAATGTATATTGAAATAATAAGCATAAAAATTTAATCTAAAAATTTAATTTCAAAAGTTATACATACTAAATTATCAATTCTATAATTAAACCAAATCCCCAAATTTCAAACCAAAATTTATCAAACTCAAATTAAAACAACAACTAATTAACCATTGTCTCAACATAAACAATATTAAATCAAAACTTACATTAAAATCTAGGAATTTCATCTTTCAATTTCAAACTCATTTATTAAACTCAACAAAAACCAAATATATTATCCAAAATTAACTAAAGCCACCTCATTCAATCTACAAATATTTCAATTACATACATAAAATAATAAAAACAACCGAGGGTAACATAACTCATGATCTTTCATCAATTAAAAAAAATAGAAGAATAAATTTACTTCCGGATAGAGTATGATGAGAATTACTAAATAAATAATTTCTTCTTACTTTCTCATTACCTCAACATCTTTTCTTCTTTTGTCGTGTTTCTTTATGCAAAGGTACAATGTTTTACCTCATTAGATATGGATAAACGCTTTTTTCTTTATGTTTTATGTGATTATATATTACCTTAGGATATTTATATTTTTACCAAACATTTATGGTGCGCAGCAGGAAAGCTGAATATCTTTTAATACACAAAAACTTGTATAATGAAAAAAATATCATCCAAAATCCACATTAATAGGAAAGCTTAAATTGTTTATAGAGAATTACATGATTCGATGGTGACAAATTTACTCATAAACTCTTTAGAATATTCGAATAAGAAATCTTCTTGTTCACCATTAATTAGACTTTCTTGGGTCCAATTAAGCCATAGCACCAACTGGAACAGTGTAGTCCTTGTAGGTTATTTCTTGCACACTCTTCTTCACAGGTTTGAAAGGCAGCGATGTCCTCTTTTCTTGTGGAATCCAAAACTTCACTGCTCACCGATAGGATTTCACACCCCATAAGGACTTTTGCGGTAAACCATCTTCAATTAATTATCTTTAGGCTATGTGTCATGAGATTTTTGTTTACTTGTTCTATTGGGAATTAATTTATATGTATTACATTGGCCACGAGGTTGTTTACTTCTCTCGACTTTCGTTCTATTGGTTAGCCTATAAAGAGACAATTTTTGTTGTATTGGTTATAATGTTTGGGGAAGGTTTTCCGTTTTTGTGGTCGTTCGTTAAAAAAATGTCTTAATATCAGCCTTAACAATAATGTGATAAATGTTGAAACAAAGTTCCTTAAAGACTTTGGCTTTTAGGAGTTAAATTTCGATAAAATGTATTAAAATTGAAAAGTGACATCTAATTTCATATTAATGAGATGTATTAACTTAAAAATTCAACTTAAATTTCTTATTTTGGTAGCTAACATTAAATAATGTAAAACAATAATAGAGATGACTGAAACTAAACAACAACAAGTGGTACGAAAAAACACCAGTAATTGTATCAAAATCAGATACTATGGATTAAAACAACAACAAAGTTTCAATAATTCGTTCAATAATAAAATAAAAAAAACTACCTTCTGTTACGGCTGAACAACTTTTAAATAGTTCTCTAAAAAAAAAACCTAATCCGAAAAGTCAAAGGAAAGCTAAATTAAACAATTATCACAGAAATTCTAAAAGTCCAGAACTTGCAAAACAACCCCAAAAATTATAATAGCGCCCAAAAACTCATCTAAACGACTCCAAAGGCTAAAAATGACAAACTTGTATTAATAGGAGAACCATAACCTATATAAGCCAGTTATTCTTTCGTCCCGCACTCTCGTAAACCTAAAATTCAAATTAAATAATAAGCGATGTCGTTGAGCAGAGCGAGAGGACGGAGGTCCACCGGAACCGCAACGAGTTGGCGGGGGACCGGATGAGGGACGCCGGAGGAGAGAAGACAACATGGTGGAGATCCAAGAAAGCTTGCAGAAGAAGCGACGAGAAGGCCTTCAGAAATCATGCTTCTGCTGTCGAGAAGAAGGTATTCGTAAAGCCTTTATCGAATAGAACTCTTTTGATTCACTGATGTAGTGTTTTATGACTTATGAACTTATTTTGATCAAAAGAGCTTATACTTCTGCTATTCAGAAGAGGATCAGTTTCATAATACGCATGCAATCAGCTTTATGTTAGAGCTCTTTTTGGTTCATTTTTTCAATGTTTTATGAGTTAATTTTATTATTATTTTTTTAACTGAACTAGAGCTATTTTATTGATTATATGATTGATTTTGACTTTGTGAAGATTAAGTATGATTTTTTGCTTTAATGAAATTTGAGCTCATCTTTATGGGGTAATGAGGTTATTTTGATTTCTTTGATTTCCTATTAAGGGTTTGATTCTAGTTTTAGGGTTTGAAGTGCTTGGAACGTCAAGGTTTGATGAATGTTCTCATGTAGTAATTGAATGCATGATTACAGTTGGAACATCTACCAGCTATGGTAGCTGGTGTTTGGACGATGATGGTAATCTACAGCTTGAGGCAACAACTCAGTTCCGGAAATTGTTGTCAATTGGTGAGACGTTGCTTCTTGTAATGCACATTTGGAATTCTGATTCTATGCATATTTTATGACAACTGAACTGTATTTCTCCGTTTTGACAGAAGCAGCCCTCCTATGAGGAAGTTATCAAGCTGGTGTTGTCCTCTTTTGTTGAGTTTTATGGGGAAGACTTTCCCAACTCCAGGTTAGTTAGAAACTTTATATTTTTTTGGTATATATCGGTATTCTAACTGTGGAGATTGTATATTTATTGGGTAGCTGAGGCAGTAAATCTGACCATTTTGTGGTTTGGTGAGAAAGAAGAAGTAATGAAAGAGGTTTATCTTTATTAGAGGGTTCTAATGCCTTGTTAGTATTCAACTTTGATTTCGTGTAACTGTATAAGGTGTTTGATTATATGCGTCAAAGAAATTGTTTATAGTTTGGTTTTATTTTTATCTGGGTAAATTTGGAACTATGAATTTTCGTGCATTAATGTGTAAATTCTGAACAATTTTGTTGGTTGGGTGGGAAAGAAGTAATGAAGAGAGGTTTATCTTTATTAGAGTGGTTTCTGATGCCTAATGTGTTGTTGATTCATTTTTGCAGTTTTTATGCTGGAAGCAGTAGATTACTAGTACTTTATTAGGTCCAGTCAGTGCGGCTGTTTAGATGCTCTGTACGTGATTAATTTATAAAGGATATTATCAATGGCGATATAAGGAAAAATCAGCTTTAGAGTTTAGTAATCTTGTATTTGGTGAAATGCTATGAGTTTTTGGAGTTTAAGTTTGGGGGGTTTGACTTTTGAACTTGACATGACTGAGGAGTTTGGGGTAATCTGGGTATCAAAAGGAGGAAAAAAGTAAAACAGTTGTTTGCTTTGTTTATGATGAAGATTGTATTTGGGCTGTTTTTTTTTGATAATAATTGATATCTCAGGTTAGTTTGATGTGTTGGATGTGGAGTGTAGCTGCTGGCGCTTTTTTTTATGCTTTTTGAGTGAGGTGGTGGCAGTTTGATGGCATCCTCGGCAATAAAATCTGGAGCATTGGTTACTTTACACGATTAAACCATCTTCTCAATTTTTGAGGGAAGGAGCTGCTAAGAGTTACTGGGAAGTAAGACTTCTCCCCTTCAAAGATTAGTACCCCTATTATAAATATATCTTATTTTACCTGTGCATCTTTTGTTTCATGATTAGTTTTGAATAACACTAGCAGTACTGATTAGTTCTCCTAACACCAAGGGTGGATTGTGGTAAAAACTGATAAGTCAAGGGTGCAAATCCCCTGAATGTGTCTGATTGGGATGTTTATAGCATACAGATTTCTAACTTTAAGGTTTGAGTCTGTTTGAAACCCAGATAGAACTTGGTGGACGTAGGAAAGGTTGAGGGATTTCTATGTATCAGGAAAAAAAATGATGATGAGCCTCTTGTAGTTCTAGATTCTCATAGGATTCTCTGAGTTGTTGTGATTTTAGAGTCTATTAGTATTTTTACAATATTTTTCTCTTTTGGATTTTGAGTTGTGTAATGAGAGCTAAAAATGCAAGTGGACTGGACCAGGTGATGATGGTAGAAGTGTAGTGTGGTCATGTGTTGGGGGATGAAATGAGGTGTGAGTAAGGGTGGAGATGAGTTGGCGGTATCAGTCTGGTGATAAATAACAGCAATAGTGTAGTAGGGTTGATTGTTTAAAGACGGGCATACAAGGCCTTCTGGTGGAAAGTTTGTTGGTTTGGCACGAGTAAGAATATGATCAAAATCAGAAATTTTGATTTTATCTCTGTCGCATTACTGAAGAGGGTGCAAACACCTGGTACATTTTCAGAGTGTGCTGATCGTTCCTGGTGTTTGGTGTCTGGATAATTAATTTTCTTGTGTCACATTAGTTGTTTGAGTTTCAACAGTCAAAAAGCAATTTGTTGAAATGCATTTTCATCTAGATATTAGTAACTTTTTAATCTGGATGTCAACAAAGCATTATTATCAATCAGACTCCTTTTGACCAGGAAAATATCTTTATTTGGTTCCTGTAAAGATATTTAGACCATCTCTCATGGTAATCCTTTCAGTTGTACATGATTCAGATTTAAGCAAGATTAGTTGTTGAACGGTAGTTACAGTTCATTGTCAACATGGATGCCAACAAAACCATTGTTTTCCAATAAGTTTCCTTTTGACCAGGGAACCTCCTCATCAGTGCCAAAAAATGATATGATACCCTTCCTCTATGGTAATCGTTCTATTATGCGTGATTAAGATTGCATGATAAGACGATGTTGAGACTATCTGTTGAAAGACAAAGTTCTCTAGATATAGTACATGTCAACATGGATGTCAGCAAAACCAGTATGATCCAATCAGGTTTCCTTTTCAGCAGGTAAATGTCTTCAGTCTTGCAACAAATGATATATATACCATTTCTAAAGGGTAATCTTTTCTATTATATATGATTAATAGCAAATGAGATTGATTAATTATTGGGAATGGTCAAGGTTCTAAAAGTTTATTGGTTTTGCTGTATCAGAGCTTGGATGATTGGCCCATTATTGCTTTCAAATTTAATTATTTTTTACTGTAATATCTTACATATAAGAAATATTTCTTGTTCCTCCAGTTACAAGAGTATTCCGTGGAGACAGCCATAGCATAATTGCTGATGGAGTGCCATCTTAAAGATCGACACCCGCACTGAGGGACCTTAGTTTTCGAGTTGGGTCCATCTATCAGTTTATTGGTGAACTCCATATTCAGCTTGACATGAGGTAAGGGATTGTTACTATTGGGTTGAAGGCTGCACATTGTGTCTACTCACTCCATGTATCATAGTTACGTTAAATGTTCAACGTGCCCTTTGGTTTCAGGCAATCTGTGGGCACGAGTAGGTAGGAATTTGATGGCCTTGACCTGAACCTGTACCATCAGTCTTTGAGTAATGAGACAGTTTCAAGCTGATCACTGAGCGTACAACTTAATGCGGTTATAAAATTGAACAGGCTCCTACAGGGAAGGTCCAAAGTAACTTCGTACTACATGTAGACGTGTTGAAATGGATGATTTTTTTTTTTTTTTTTAATTCTTTCAGTACTTAACGTTGGATCTCTACTACGAATACTTAATTCATGGGATATCTATTAAATTCCATAAAATATACGCTGTTATAATTATGATTTCCTCTGGAGCATAGAAACTGGGTAATCTGTTCATTTATGACAGATTCCCACCTTAAGATGAATATCACAAATCTTTTAAGAGAGTCTTTCCCCAGATAGTCAATAAGTATCTTTTAGCCATGTGCTTGATGGAATTCCATTTGGTTATACCAGTAATATTGTTCTGTCAGCACCAGTGTGTTGATATATATTACAGATACATCCTGCTAACTAGTTGTTTTCACCAATTTTTGTAGATGATTATAAACACACGTGATTACATTGTTAGAAGTTAGCTACCATGTTGGAATGTAGTGTCGGTGTCGACATTCTCCTGCTTTGATTCTTCTGTTTGATAATTGTCAGTTAGAATATGGCCGGCTAGAACAGCATATCTGTTCAGGTTGTTTGTGTTGCACATGTTTCTGATTCTGCATTATTATTTAGTAGGTTCGGCATTGATGAGACAATATCTGAAGAACCATATCTTTTGGCTTTGGTTTCTGATTTCTTGAGTGTTTAAAGACAAACCTTTGATCCAAGAATCCAATTGATAAGATTTGGTAATTTATATAGGATTTCTCATCTGGTCAACATTATAGAATTTCCAAAGGATTTGGTAATGATCCGTAAATACGTTCTACACTCTTTTTATTGTCTTGATAATTCACTCATACTCGTTGATTATGTCCTACCGAAATAAAAATAATAATATTGTATTTTATCATAGCAATTAGAAGGATATATGAAACTTACTCTAATCACTTGAAAATTCCGAAGCTATGATATAGTCATATAGGATGCATATTATAAGGTCACATTATAATGAAAGTACAAGTTTAATGAAGTACAAGGAACATTTGAAATTGATACAACATTACTTAAACGCTACATATTCAACTACAAACGATGAATCCAGAAATTGGCAATCCTTCATCACACTCATCTCCACACCCTACACGGTCACCCACAAGCAAGTTCCTGCATTAAGATAAAGCAGCCAAGTTATATATAATTATATATAGTGTACATGTATAAATTAATTATATATTCAGAAAACATTGATCCAACATTTAAGTCTAATCACTTAGAAATTCTAAGATAGAGTCATATAAATATGTATATTATAAGTTTTACATTTTAGGTTTATAAGTTTCATGTTATAAGTTTTGCAGTAGTTAACTTTACCTACCTCCAAATTCCAACGGTGATCTAAATTGTCAGATCATTTATATGGCAGGACTTGCATAATGGGCTAAGAAGTTTCACAGTATATTTTTCCCGCTTTTTTATACTTTCGTTCTTAGGTTTGGAGTTGTACTTACCTCTAGTATTAAGGATACGAATAATTTGTCTTGTCAAATACGAGTTTTTCAATAAAAATCTATGGGTGGTTTGATTTAGTATTTTGGATAGGATTTTAGGGATAGTATTGGGTTATTGGATATGGGAGTATTAGGTAAATTTAAAAATTTATAAAAAGCCCTTAGGTTACAATTTAACTAAAGACCTAACATGTAAAATGACAAAAACACCCCCACCATCTGCAGTGTCAGATTCCGGCCACCACCGCCGGAACTGGCCGGAAATTTCGTTACGGCACAGACTTGTCGGATCTGTGCCGTAACACATTGTTATGGCCTTTTCCGGCTAGATCCATGTAGATCTGGCGGAAAAGGCTAGATCTATGGTTTGTTTTGGCCGTCGACGGCCGGAAAAGGCCAAGCGACGGCCAAAGATGTGGCCGGCGCTGACGGCCAGATCTGGCCTTTTCCGGCCAGATCCGTGGTGGATCTGGCCGGAAAAGGCCACAGCGGTGAACTTCCGGCCATTCTGGTCGAAAGTTGGCGTTGTATAGATTCCGGCTATCACCGACGGTGGTTGCCGGAACTGACAAGTTGGGTTGATGGGGGTGTTTTTGTTAATTTTAAACTTTTTTTAGGGGGTATTTAGTGAAATTAATAAACTTATGGGGTTAAAATGTAATTAAAAAAAATAGGGTAATATTTTGAGAATATTGTACCAAACGCGATTTGAAAATAGGATCCAGAATAGGGATTAAAATATTAAACCAAACGCATACTATAATATCCTTGTTCTCTTATTATTGTTATTAGAAATGACCATAATTTTAAATACAAAATTTGTCAAAGCAAAAACCAAAATGAACAACGTAAAAACATTTTAAAATATCCAATTGTTAATAAAATAACAATAATTAAAAAGAAAAAAAAAAAAGAAATCACATATTTAATGACAAGACATATAATAATAATAGTTAAGACCATTGCTTACATTAAACTTCATACCATAATAATAACAATAATATGCCCAAACCTTCTGCTCTTGTGAATTCAGTCTATTCTAAATTAGACCCTAGTTGAGTTTAGACTAGTAATTTGCAGGAAACTTACCCAATGAAGTAATCAGACTGGCCGAAATCAACGGGGTTGACATCATCATTGGTGACGGTTCGCTCTGATCATTTGTTGGGTGGCCTCTGTGTTGTTCTCAGTTCTCTAAGAATAGAGAGGGCCAACTCACTGACGTCAGAGGAACTGTGTTGTGTGAGGCCGCCTACAACAATACCTGCCTGCAAAATCAAAACCAAAACATAAATGAAGTAAATAACAGAACCAAAACATAAATGAAAACAGGAATTTAGCTAATGAGATCTGCAAAGCATTACCTCAAAGGTTTCGGGAGTTCCCCTATTAGTGCCAATTCTCTTTAAACGTTTAAAGTACTCATTAATTTTCTTCGAGGGCAGCTTCTGGGGCAGCTTCTCGGTTTGCTGCATCTCGCAACTCCTTGAGAAGCTCATCGAGGGTGGGAGTGGGCTGGCTTCCCATTTTCGAGTGGTTTTCTGTTCAACAAAGGAAAACTTTACAAATTGTATGATAATATAAATGAATAACTTGAAACATAACAACCCTAATAAAAACAAGGAATTATAAAATTGAAAAATAAACAAAATTCCAATAAAATTAGGAAAACCTTTTTACTAAATAAACTTGAAAAATAGAAAACATGTCATGATGAGGGATTTTTTTTAATAGTATATAAAAAAAAAAAAAATTGGGGATCTGTGAATTCAGGAAAGTTACTATTAAATTGAAGAAAACACGATCAAACACGAATTCAACAATATTTTTCTAATCAGAAAAAATACCGTCAAACAAGGATTTAAAAAAAAAAAAAGGATACCCAGTTTCAATTAATATACCGAGTTAAAGGCAACAGAGAGAGATCGAAATTCGAGACTAAAAATTGTTAAACTAATGAGATCGTAAAACAACGTAATCCCAATAATAACGAAAAATAAGGGAATTTATTCGATTAAAAAGAAAAAAAAGAGTTCAAGGAATAACGGATAAATAAGAGAAAATCTGATACCTTTCGCGAAGAAGGGTGGAGAGTAAATAAAGTAGCAACGATTGAAATCAATTGATAACAACGAGATTTCCAGAAAACGACGGAGAACAAAGAAGATCGACGGCGCAGAGGAAAAACGCGGATTTAGGGTTGCGGTTTGAAATTTTGTGTGAGCGCCAAGAGAAAAATAGGTTTATATAGGAAGACCAATTTGTAAATTTTCAATCTTTCACGGGCAGTATGGTAAGTTAAATGATCCAGGGCAGTTCTGTAATTTAAAATATATCAAGGATAAATGAATTTTTTCCCCATTTTTTTTTTTTTAATTTTCCAGAATTACATTTTATCTGAGGAGTTGAGTTTTGAACTTGGACATGACTGAGGAGTTTGGGGTATATCTGGGTTATCAAAAGGAGGGAAAAAAGTTAAAACGGTTGCTTCGCTTTGTTTATGATGAGATTGTATCTTCGGCTGTTTTTATTTTTTATTTATGCTTTTTGAGTGAGTTGGTGGTAGAGTAGAGAGCTAGAAACAGGTTCACGAACACTATTAATATCATGATACAGTTTTCGGTATTAATTATCGGATATATAAATGTCTGATAGATGCAAAGATTTTAAAATTTATTATGCATTGTGATTCATTGGTCGATCGGTGATTTGTACTATTCTCTGATTTAACCCTAGATCAATTAATCTAGATATAATCGAGTTTAGGATGTACTCGAGTCAGATAAGGTTCGATTTCCAATGGACCAAGGTCCAGTTTGGGTTTTAAAAAAATACCAAAGTGCAATCATGGTCAAATTTTGGTTTATTTAACGAAAGAACATCTTTGAACGAAAATTTATTGATATAAAAACATTCTATTTTCGTGTCACATTATAACCCATATTAAAATATAATCACCACTAACAATTTTTAAAATGCTATCACCCATAAAGGTTTGTGACTCATAGGAATCACAAAAACTTAACTCAAAGCATCATGATTATATCCACCATAGATTACCTTATAATCTAACAATAAACCAACACACATGTCCATATAATTAAACCCTAATTACCACGTTTAAAATACACTAATCTAGATCCCATGACCCCATTTGAGATCTGGTTACAAAGATTGATCCCATTTACTAATTTCAATAATGACCCAATTGAAACTAGCCAATTAGGATTAGAAACCCTAGACTTCTCATGAAACTTGATACTTTAGCTTCTAGTGGGTCTTGAAAGTCAAAAGTAACACCTACCCTGAGAAAGAAAAAGAGACTACCAATGGAATGTGTGAAATTAATGTGTCATTGTCCAGTGCACCGCCCACATGTGATTGTTGTGGGTACGTTTCAGCTGTTTATGGTTTAATTTGTGGCTGGGAAGTAGTCCGCCTGGTGACCATGGTCCTTGCTTTGCACCGCCTTCATTATATGGTTTCATGGCGTGTTGTTTTGAGTGGTTTAAGTAAATCACATGTCTTCTTATAATTGTGGGCGCCTACAATGAGGCTTATTATATCATCTATACAATCGTCTCTATTAGACTATCGTAATTCCATTTAATATTACTAATGATATCGTAAATATGTTTTATACTCTTTTTAATTGTCTTAAATAATTTACTCATACTCGTTGATTATGTCCTATCCAAATAATAAATAAATAATACGTAATTGTATTATATCATAGAAATTAGAAGGAATAATATGAAATTTTTAAGTCTAACCACTTAGAAATTCCGAAGATATGATAGGGTCACATAAAGGCGCATACAATAAGTTTTACATTTTAGGATTACAAGTTTCACGCTATAAGTTTTACAATAGTTTACAGTTAACACTAACTTTACCTACCTCCACATCATCCTCACGGTGATTTGATTTGTCAGATCATTATATGGCAGTCACCTGTATAATAGGCTAAGAAAGTTTCACATCATATTTTTGCGGATTATTTGCACTTTTATTCTTAAGGTTTGTAGTTGTACTTGCCTCCGACATTACAGAATATGAACAGTTTGGTTTAGTCAAATGCAAACTTTTCAATAAAATGTCTATAATACCCTTGTTCTCTTATTCGTATGTTATTGGAAATGGTCGCAATTATATATACAAAAATGTATCAAAGCAAAAGTCAAAATGAGCAACATAAAAAATTTAAAAATATCCAATTTTTTTCTTTTTTTAATATATATATATATATATTCATTTCTAATAATATGTAAATAAGATAACATGCGTATTATAAATTTTTATTTAAAAGTCTTACTTTATTGGACTAAATTGTCCATATCCCAAACCTTAAAGATGAAAGTGTTAATAACCCTATTTTTGCTACCGACTAACGATCTGAATCTGGATCCGGATCCGGATTCCATGAATGTCATTGGTCCACCCACCCAGAAGAAGGAGATTTGAATTACAACTGGAGAAAGACTTGACGGGGATAAGCTGAATGCGATTGACCCAAATGAAATATCAAGGCTTAATTGGGTCCCTGTCCCTGCCTCATCATGTTTTTAGTTGACAATGGACCATCTTGATCCTGACATTTCCATGAGCTCCACATTTCTATTCACTAAAGTTTGCTTTCAAACAAAATTAATACGCCCACATTATAAATACCTTGGATTTTTCATTGACTTCATGAATTTTTACTACTAGAATGCTCAATTTTGTTACATTATTAGGATAATAACATAATCAGATCAATATATTGATAAACTACGATATATTGGTAGGTAATAATGTCGTGTTTAAAACTATTTTGATAAATTGAAATAGTTTTTAAACAAATTTAATGAACCCGGGTTAAAAATACATAGGATTTTTCATTGACTTTGTGGATTTTTAGTAGAACGTTTGATTTCGTTACATTATTAATCCTATGACATAATAAAATTGATTTACAGTTGCTTTTTATGATCCTTGGGTTACTCAAGGAACTTAAACTCTTTATTTAACTATAGTTGTTGTTTGGTCGATAATAATGTCATACTTAATGCTATTTTGATATATCACAATAGTATTCAAACAAATTTAAAAAACCCACAAAAAATATTTAAGATTTCGATCTGATTTTCTTTGAGTATAAGCTATGAAATGATTTATGAATTATAAAAAACCCTAGGAGTTGGGCGTGCGTAGGTCGGTTATCATAGTTTTCCATTAACATAACCTCTGAAACTGTCTATGGAGGTCTAATAACCCATTTTGGTCAAAATTATTTGTAAATATGGCCTTAACATGTGAGGTGTCTCCATTCACACCTAATTTTCCTTCATACTTGGATCTCTTTTTTGGTCCTTTCCTCTTTCATTGTCATCTTGATTTATTTTCCCATGTCTTTCCAACTCATTCTTCCCAAATTTTGAAGAAAAACAAAATTATTGTTTGAGAGACGGGGTTTATTATCTTTCTTGCTTTATCGAGATAATGTTATCCTCCAGATGAGTGACGAGATTGATTACAAACTCTCTTACGACTTTATGGCTATTTTTTTTTCTTCTGTTTTGCAAACCCGAATACCAAATTGGAGTCTCTATCAAACATTATAATCACTTGAGTTTGAAAATTAGAACTCACGTTAAACCTTATAATTTTGATTTTAGATGTGTGAAAGGAAACTCAAACTCTAAACTTTACGAGAATAAACCACATATATGATGAAGATTAGAACAACCATTATACATAAACTTATCGAATAGTTTTAATAATTAGATTAATAACACATAGTTGATAAAAGAAGAAAAAACACTTCTTTCCAAAGATTTTAAATTATTTATGTTACGATATCAACAAGTAATCATAGAAGATATTACCATTATAAGAAAGTCGATAAAGACAAATTCGATATATTATTATTATAATAATAATAACCCTCGTCGGTTAGTAATTTAATAGCATAAGATTAATATTAAATTAGTGATATACCGGTGCCCTCCTAACAAAATCAATTTCACCTATTATTTTAATGTTATGGCCTCATGGGTTAGTTAAAGGATACTTTAAAATAAAATAAATGGTCAAAAAGCTTTAAAAAATTAGGTAAAATAACCATTTGATGCAAATTCAAATAACTTATTATTTTTTTAACCCCATTACTAATTTTATTAATCTTCACCTCCTCACCTTGACCCTACTTATATAATTAATTTATAAATTTGGACGGTTTTGGTCGATAAAAGGAGCATCTGGTTTATGATTAGCCATGTGTACGGTACATATTTTTGGGCACGAATTTTGTAGCTAATGATATAGTATTAATTATTCACATAACCATATCATATAATTTTTTATTATATGATATAGTTATGTGTGGTGGACATTCTTTTTAATGATATTTTAAATTAGACGATGATTTGGCCGTCATCAATATATTTTATTAAATTGTTGTTGGGTTTATCAAGGAGTTACTAATTTAATTTGTTAATTAAGAAACTTATCTCTTGATTGTGATATAATTATTAAATTGGATTAGAAAACCAAACTTCTATTTAGGTTAATTATTATTAAAATTAAACAAATCCTACATAATTGGAGGTGTTATTATGTGTATAATATGGTTTAATGTTGTATGCAATCTCAAATTATTTGGATTAAGAAATTTAATAACACATGCTGGTTTAATGTTTATGTTTTAAATTGTTGGAGAAGCATCAAAATTATTTAAGAATAAGAATATTTTCATTTTAATAGATAAATCAATAGAAATAAAAAAGAAAAAAATAAATATATATATAGAAACAAAAAGGGGAAATTCATTTTCATCCCTGAAGTTTTATGGAAGTAATTTTCATCCAAGCAATTATAAAAACTAACACTGTAATCACAATCAATCATCCGTCTCTAGAGGAAGTTTGTTTCAGTTATTATTTAAGTTATGAAATTTTCTTTTTTTAAGATATGGTAATTGGCCACCCCTTGGAACAACTCGAACTTAAGACCAGACGCGTTTTCAACCATGTGCCTTCTATCCATTTAGCCACAAGTGGACGGATAAGATATGAAATTTTCATAATGGTCATATTTGTCTCCTTAGAGAATAAGTTGAATAATGAGGTTATCGTTTTCGTTTTCGTTTTGTTGTCTTTTTCACTATTTTTATTCTCTATTATTTCTTATAGAATATGTAATATTTGTTCATTTATCAGTCTGGTTTCTTAAAAAAAAATGGAAAATATAAAACATTGAAAAATTGTTTTCTATATTTTCAATCAAGGTAGGTAGAGAATACCTAGGAGTGCGAGACACCTCAATGGAATGCGTCTATTTATCTATCTCTTGACTCGAAATGGGAGTGAGTTTGAAAAAGATCTTAGAGTGTCTAGGGTTGGGTCGAGAGGGTGAAATTTTTTTTTAATGAAAAAAAATGTAGCATCGGGTGGACAATTAGCCAGTGTGTTTCATCCTACGAGAACCCTTTACTTGTCACAATATTTTATATTTATCGTAAAAAAAATAATAATAAACTTGTTTTCATTTTTAGACACTACTTTTAGAAAATGATAATTTAAAAACACAAAATCAAACTTCTTATTTTTCATCTCTGAATTTTTTAGGGCAATGGTTAACGGATAAGGATTCCGGTGTTAGTATAGAATATTTTGGATGAGAAAGTTATTTTTATAAAACATTAGGGGTTAATTTGTGATTTAGCTGAAGAACTCAAGAAATAACTAACCATAATATACATAATTAGGAACTAGGAACTAGGAAGTAAGAAGAAGTATACGGAGACGCAAAAGTAGCAAGTAAAAAAGCTGAAGTGAAAAGCACTTTTAGTTAAAAGCACTTATAATACACAGAAGCAGATGCAGATGCAGAAGCAGAAGCAGAAGCAGAGGCAGAAGTTACAAATAGTGCTTTGAGCTTTGTGTATATTTTGTACTGTATGTACAACAAGACACTGTTGTCTTTGTTTTCTTCTCCACACATAAAAAGAGAGAAACAGAACCCAACAAAACTTCTTTTAATTATGGATTATAATCTATCTCAAGATCTTCTTCTCTCTAGAAATCTCAGCTCCATATTTCCTCACTTCTTCTGCGTCAGTTTCCGGCAGCTGACGTCTGCTTCACGCCACCTGCGTCACACTCCGGCTTTCTGATCTGGGTTCTTCTTTTCAAGGTCTTGCTTGCAACTGATAAAAAGCTTCTTTTTTGAGTTTGTTTTGGTTAAAGGGTGTTGTTTGGTTGCTGAGAAAGTTACGGGAAAGTTAAGACACGAAATGAAAGTTTGTTTCTTTCTTTATCTGAGAAAGTGAGTTGTTTTGTAGCTTGTGTCAAAACTTGCTTCTGGTTTGTTTGGCATCCGAGAAAGTTATCAGAAAGGCAGAACAAAATGAAAATTTTGACCTTCACGCATCGCGTTTTTCATATACTTTTCTGGTTTTTGAAAATTTGATATTGATTCAACAGTTTTAGAATTCTACGCGGCTTAGATTTACTCAAGGTTGTCTTTTTTCTTTTTTAAACAATATTGTTTTACCTTCTTTTCTCAGCAAACTAACAAAAGGGTAGCTTCAGTTTGGTTGTTGAGTCAATGGAACGGAAGATAAGAGAAGAAAAATATCAATGCATGTTAACCAAACAGAGCATTTCCCAAACAGCCCTGTTTAAGTTAAATGAATAGAGTGTGATTTATTTTAAATTTTTTTTTGTTTACTTCTGCCTAATTCTAGATGATGAGTTATTGGAATTCCATGTCAGATTAATATTCTCTGTAATGTCTATATGAGATTCATAGCCTTTTGTTTTTTACTTTATTTATTCTGTCCACATTCACTGTTTTTTGTTCTTTTACCTTATTAAACTGTTAGATTCTAGCTTTCTGAGTCAGATCAGTCTTTATATTCAGTTACAGTGGAGTTCCATTCATTAGCTCCAACCATCCGTTTGTTTCTCCGGAAAATAACTTGAGAAAAAAAAAAAAAAAAGAATGTACAGTCTTCTTCTCAAGATCTCTAGCAGTTTTAAGGAAAATTTCCCGTTTTGTATTCATTTTTTCTTTTTTTTATTTTCAATCTCCAGATTTTCAGTCTAGCAAAGGTGGGAAGCGAAGAGCATAAATGTGTGGTGTGCTGTGGGGAGTGAGTTTAGAATGGGGCATTTCTCTCCTCGATGTTTAACGGATTGGCAAGATCTTTTCGTAAAAAAAGAGAAAAATTCTGGGAGTTGTGATGGAAGAGGAGCTGCAGAAGCAATGGCGAAGGAAGCCAAGAAAGATGACTTAATTTTAAGGTCTTCTGGGTTTGTAAATGTTGATGGTTCTAACAATTTTGCCTCAGTTTTTTCCAAGAGAGGCCAGAAGGGTGTTAACCAAGATTGTGCTATTGTCTGGGAGGTATGCATATATCATTTACTCTTAATTTAGTTTTGTATTTCTTTTCCTATGTTTTCTTAGTAACTACTAAACAAGTTATTGTTAAACTCGAGCACTAATGTTAATGTTTTTACCTATCAGTTTAAGTTTTTGGTTCCACTTTTTTTCTTTTCTTTAATAAGAATATTTCCTACTGCTGCATTGACTGGGATCAAAATGTGGTTCTTGGTTGTGGTTTTGATGGACAAATGTGCATTTGATTTGTTACGGAGCAGGAATTTGGATGTCAAGAAGACATGATATTTTGTGGGATTTTTGATGGACACGGTCCATGGGGTCATTTTGTGGCAAAAAAGGTTCGTGAAGCGATGCCTTCTTCTTTGCTGTGTAATTGGCAGGAGACTGTCGCTGAAGCATCAGTTCTTCCAGAGATTAACTTGGATTCGGATAAAAAGCATCATAGGTTCAATATATGGAAGCATTCTTTTGTCAAGACTTGTGCTGCCGTTGATCAGGAGCTTGAACAACATCGTAAGATTGATTCTTTCTATAGTGGAACAACCGCATTGACAATTGTTAGACAGGTAATATAAATTCCTGATTCCGCAGCAGTTTTTTTCTTTTTTGGATAACAGAACAAATCCCTTCAGTCTGTCTCTTGTGATTTGTGTACCTTATGCACGTAGCTTATGTTGCCAGGGTGAATTCATCATTGTAGCCAATGTGGGCGACTCTCGTGCTGTATTAGCAACCACTTCTGATGATGGAGACTTGGTACCAGTTCAGCTAACAGTTGATTTCAAGCCCAACTTACCTCGTTCGTATCTGTTTCTTTCTGAGTGTTAACGAGCTAAATATTAATATTAGACCTTTACCTGATAACTTAAGTTTTTAGGTGTTATTTAACATGGTGTCATAATAGCTGAGTTCGAATCTTAACAATATTCTTTTCGATCATGTTGCAGAGGAGGCTGAGCGGATAGTGCAGTGCAAGGGCCGTGTATTTTGTTTAGAAGATGAGCCAGGGGTGCACAGGGTCTGGTTTCCCAACGAGGAATCGCCTGGACTGGCAATGTCTCGAGCCTTTGGTGATTATTGTTTAAAGGAATATGGATTAATTTCTGTGCCTGAAGTAACGCAAAGGCATATAACCAGCAAAGACCAATTCGTTGTGCTTGCAACAGATGGGGTATGCATAATTCACTATTTGTTTGACTAGTACTAATTTTACGACTTTGTTAAAAGATAAAACTTGTTCTTTGATGATTACATTACGCGTATAAATTCTTGCTTAGGTATGGGATGTCATCTCTAATCAAGAAGCAGTTCAAATTGTGTCTTCAACACCAGATAGAGCAAAGTCAGCCAAGCGTCTGGTCGAGTGTGCTGTTCATGCCTGGAAACGAAAGAGGAAGTGTATTGCAATGGATGATATTTCTGCTATTTGTCTATTCTTCCACTCTTCAACTCAATCTCAGGCAGTTAGCATTGTTTCAACGCCAAAATAGTAATGAAAATTGGCAAGGAAATGTTTCCTTGTTTATCATTTCTCACACACTATCTATGTATGTTATTTAATGTATTCAGTTTATCAGAAGTCGCTCATTATCAAGGCTCACGCGCATATCTTCTTCCTTTGTGTTAGCTAATCTATGAAATTTATTCGCGATTAGAGGTGGCAATGAACCATGCCACCAACCCACAAATTTTTTGGCATGGCACAAAAATTTCGTGCCATGCCATGGTTCGTGGGCCGTGTGGGCTGTGCCGTGGGTCGGGGATTTTGGCACATGGGCCAACACAGCACAGCACACTGGGTCATGGGCCGTGTTGTGGGCCTTGAGTTTTGGGTGTCTGGCATGGCATGACATGGCGGGCTGTGAAAATTTTGGCATGGCATGGTCCAGCCCGCCGCCACCTCTATTGGCGATAGGATGAACTAAATAGTAAATACACCAATCTGGCAATAGGTAATCCACAACTATTGCATTCATTGATTGGGAGGAAAGAATGTTCATTTTCTGTACAAAGCATTACATCAAGGCCAATGTGGCATTCAAATCCGATTGTAACAGTCTTGAGTTCCTATAATTTTTAGTTTAGTTAGAGCTATAACTACTCTGACTATCTCCAAACTGCAACTACAACAGATTTGTGGAACCATACTTCAGTTCCGTCTTATGTTTTTGTCTCTCCATGCGGTGGCAGTGGCGGTGGCGCTTAGTGAAATACTTGAGGAGCTGCATAATACTCACTCTCATTGAAGAATGGTCTTAAATCTTCTTGACACATGAACTCTAAGGGGAAGGAAACAAGATGTCCCCTCACAGACTTCAATCGTTCCATTGGATCCATCAAGTTGATTTCCCCATTCTTGTATGTTTCCAGCTCCTCAGGAGCTATTCCTAAATCAATTGTGGTGTGCCCCAGTTTCTCCTTCCTCTGGCTCATGCTTTGTCTGAGGGCAGCCCTGGAGTGTATGAGTTCATTAGGGATGCAATCAAAGACGTCTTGGTAAATTATGGTGTTTTCCTGGAAAATAGAACAGTTCAACTCAGTATATCAGCAGTGAAGTAAAAAACATAAAGAGAAGGCGATAGTTCAGAGTCGAAATGCTCGAATGAAATAACATGCTAACCAGCAATGAATCTAGATATAACCTTTAAGGATCTTAGAAGGGTTATTTATCTTTACCTTTGCAGTAGCTATCCATAAGTCTCTGTATGTTGCATCTGCCATAGGATCACTTATTTGGCCGGTCTGAAGAAAGTAAGAGCAGAAGGGTTAATTTACAGCATTCTTTAATTAAATTATCAGTAACATATGTAGAATTCTTCGTGACGATTTGGAATAAAGAAGAGAAAAACAGAAAATTACCTCTCCTGCAGGAAGACCAAGGTGTTCACACCACAGGGAGCACCGGAGAGTATAAGAAAATTTTCCTGCCTTCCATGGCTCTCCATTCATCGATGATTCGAGAAATTCTTTATCTTCAATGAGTACTCCAATCTAAAACAGAAAATATAAAAATCATAGAAGAATAAGCGAAGAACAAGTGAAATTTCTGGTTTAACAGAGGAAGATCCTGAAACAATCATAATAAATCATCCCTGAATATCTTGGTGAGTCTAAAAGTGGTACCTCAGAGTCTCTTGATCCAAGCAGACTCCTATCATTAATATTGGATGATCCAATCAAGGCAGCGCGGTCATCTATTATCATCAGTTTGCTATGCACATACACCTGTATGAAAATCAAGATTTTGAAATTGTTAAACAATTTACGTAAACCAAAACCAGACCTTTTACAATTCAATATTCATGTGTAGAACAAAGCCATTGTATGAAATCTAATGGTGAATAAATATAGGTATGTGTTAAGATCCTACATTGGAAGGGAAAATAGTGGGCATGTGGGTTATAAAGGGCTTGGGCATCCTCCCTTGGTAAGCCGTTTTTTCAAGGAGAGTTTTACCCAAGCCCATGAAAAACTTAAGGCGCAGCCCAATTGTTTGAGTTGTTAGAGGGGGTTTCTATCAAATGGTATCAGAGTATGATTTTGTGCCTATCTGGTAGCCTACGCGTGGCAGACTGACCCATGGCAAGTTGAACTTAGGCTCGGGCTGCTACCTCAAGAAAGGGCATGGAGGCCCAAAGGAAAGGGGATCCGCGTAGTCAGCCAAAGGGTAAAGAGGTTGACATGGACATCGGTTGCAGAAGGTGTAGTGGAATGTTAGGATCCCACATTGGAAGGGAAAGGGGCAAACTGACCTTGGGCTCGGGCTGCTACCTCGAAAAAAGGCATGGAGGCACAAGGGAAAGGGGATCCGCATAGTCATCCAAGGGGTAAAGACGCCGACCAGGGTAAAGAGGCCGACATGGACCTCGATTGCGGAAGGCGTGGAAAAGGGTGGACATGTGGGCTATGAAGGGCTTGAGCACTCTCCCTTGACAAGTCGGTTTTCCAAAGAGAGTTCTACCCAAACCCATGAAGTCCCAACCCAATTGTTGAGTTATTGGAATGGGTTTCTATTAGTCCGTTATTCAAACAATACCTGACTCGTGGCCACTGGACCACCATCACAAAGTCTGCCATGTGATCTCAAACCATAGAAGGTAATGTAGTCTTGTGTCTTGGGTCCAAGCGGCATATTGAGGTTATGCAATATTGAAGTTTTCTCCCTGGAAATGGTCCGGTATTGCCAATGCATAAGGGCTCTAACAGTTGCTGCACCACCATCATCAATACCTCCCTGTCATCCATAATTCACCAAAATGAAAGTGTTTAGTTGACTATGCTTTTAGTTTAATCTTAAGAAATAAAACCAAAAAATTCTACCTTGAAGCCTGGTACGAGCGGTATGACAACAATGACTCTGAAACATTTCTGTTCCTCGTATGCTTTCACAATACGCTTGTAAAATGCTTCCAAGACACGGTTCTGTATAACTTCGTCTCCTGAAAGACCTGAAATGAAAAATTGGTTCTAGAAGAAAGACACCAATAATAATAGCACAGATGGTCAGCAGAAGACCTGGAAATTAACTTTCAAATTCAATGTTCAAGTATAAATATATCGGCTTTTCTGAGGTCCATTAAAGCTTTCAATATCAGTTAGTGATACTATGCAAGAGCTTCATTGAGGACTTCCATGATAAGAAACTAAAAGTTAATTCAACAACCAGCTCCTAGGGAGAAGAAAAAAGTTTCATTAACTATTGTTCTCTTACCTCAATGTAAATAAAATGTTGTGCATTCTCAATGAGAGAACAATAAGTACTATGAATGCTTTCTTCAGTTTGACTTGTTCCTGCAGACCACTGGCTGACACTTCTGATAATCTACACATGACATAGTCATTCATTAAGAAAGCAAATGAAAATAACTGAAGAAACCAAAATTGGAGTTACCAACACCAAAAGGATTTAGTCTGAGAAGTTGAATAAAGAAAGAAAATCCAGAGGTGTAGCTAACCTGACAGCGGCATGCAATACGTGGACCAACTTGTTCGTATTCGCCAGCAGGAACATCGTGATTGCCTTCCTCAGGGGTTTGCCACCACTCATCTGATACTTTGAAACAAAGCTCTGGGACACAATCTAAGTTCAATTTTTTCTGAAGATCCATAGAGTCAAGATCCTCCAGAACTCCTACAATCTGCATATCTGGAGAGAAAGCTTCAGGTTTGTACTTCTGGGAAGATAAGGTACAACATCCATTGATCTCAGATGACTTATGATTATGATTATTGGAATGCAGGCCATTTAGCTTTTGGTCCATGGTGGAAGTGACTAGTTTATCAGCTTCTTGAGGCAAAAGCAAAGGGATATCTTCCCATGGTGATCGCGAGGAAAACGAATCCTGTCTGGTTAAATCTTTCTGATTCTTATCTGTGTCCTTGCTTGCAATGTCTATCTCTTGGCTTCCCATGTAGCGAGGGATAACCATGTGGTGGTGAGGAATGAGGAGTGGAATTGCTTGTTCATGTGGAGCTTTGTTTCTCTGAAATATGATAAAACTAATATCAGAAGATAACTTCAGCAAAGAAAAGAAAACAAGTGACAAAAGATCAACCTTAGCATGGTTCCAGCGTTGAACAAAATGCCTTGCAACATCTCGACAAGGTGGCCCCCAAAGAGCACAATGAATATCATGCCATGGCATACGGGGATATTGTTCGCGATCAAGTTCATCTTTCATTGTATCCTCCCAAGAATTTGGTTCAGATTCTCTATCCAAACAAAATTTATTTAACATCAAAGTTCTTAAAACCAAAACTCATTCTTGGTTCAGATTTTCTGGCATAAAGAGAGAAAAAACACCTTGGATTGTAATAGTCCTTTCCAGGCCACATGAAAGGAGGGCAATCCCTCACTCTGTGTTCAGGTGTGTCATAACGGCCGAAGCATAAATCCAGTCCTCCAATGAAGCAAGTGCGGTAATCAATAATGACAAGTTTTTCATGGTGTGACCTGCAAGGAACCAGAGGTAATCAGTGATCATAAGCAAGAAAAATAAACCAAAAGGAAAATGATTTGTTCAAATTGCCTAAAAACAATACCATAAATAAACACCGGTTGATAAATGGTCAGGATAGCGCAGCACTCTGACATTTTCATGAATTTGAAGGAGCTTCTTCTTACTGTACATACTGTTAATTTTTAAAGCAATAGAAACCTCCTTATACAGAAGAATGTATATCTGCATAACCATTGACATAAATTAAAGTTAAAAATTTACTAGATTTAGAAACATAGACAAAATGCTAAGAAAATTTTTATGTTGTTGTTCACCTGAACACCTTGCTTGGCTTTTGCTTCTATCAGTGCATCTAGCCGGGAGGAAGAATGCTTGCGAAAAGGGCGTCTCATATACAGCTCAGGGCAAAGCCACCAGCCAGTAATGAAGATCTGCTTGAAGTTTAATCATTAAGCATTACAATTAATAAACGATTGCGAATGTTCAATACATTTTGTCTTAGAAAGGGAAGAATTAACCTCTGATTTTGCATCCTCTATTGCAGAAGCAATTGCTTCAAAAGCTGCTTGACCATCTATAAACCACTGAGCTTGACTTCCATCTTCAGTCAAACCCCTTGGAGGAGCAAAGGAACCAAAACGGTGAGGGTGACACCACCCCTCATGAGGTCTTAAACCAGCGTCATTGATTGCACCAATCCATTCTTTAACTTTACCATTACTTGTAGTCCTCAAATCTATTGTCCGATTTCCACAAGAGACCTTTCAACATTTCCAAATGTTATAGTTGTTATTAAACAGAAATCAAGGGGCCTAAAGAAACTCCAGAAGGATATTATTGGTAAAGCCAACTGACCTTAAATGCGTAGCACAGAGGATTGGATTCTTTTATTTGCTTTGCTAGATATACTCCTGACCCTTCATTGCCATTAGTGGTGGGAAGAACATCAAAAACGATTATGTCTAGGAGTTTGGTGCTTAAAGGCTCTTCCAGCAAGGCCAAGAAACCAGGTTTCAGAACAGCCCAGACCTGCAAAAAGGGCATAAGAAAGGAACATATAAACAATAGATGACCTTAATCGACATTGTAAGTGTAAAGATAAGCAATCAAAATTTCTGGGATTGAAAATTCTATTACCTTATGCCAAGTGTTGCTGCAACCAAAGCAACAGCCTGGAAACCATGTTGCATCAGTCTCATCCCTGGAGTTTTTTGGTAAATGCTTCACCATAACGTAGCCCTCTTTCAACTTTGGACCATATTCTTGTGCAAATGACAACCTCGAGACCTCCAAGAATTTGCATACCTGAAATTCAAAACCTCTTGGTGTGAAGGATAGTTTTTTCTCTAATTTCAGCAAAAGTAGAAAAAAAACTCTTTTTATGCTCACCTCTCTCGAATTCACGATATCCATGTTTCCCAGGAAATGATTCAAATAACCTTGCATTGCTACCTTTGCTTTCTCTGAAATTGTAGGTTGACGTCCAAGTGATGGGCGAAGAATCGGCAAAGCAGCACTAGAAGGGACATTCCTGCATAGCAAAATTTTGTAAGCACTACAAATGCAGTGGTGTAAAGGGCTTTATTTGATGATTCCCTTGACAGTAAAGGAGATGTTTAACTAGAAGTCTAGAACTCACCTATTTCTAACACTTTCACTTTGATGCACAGGCACAGCTCCATCATCAGGTTCATCAGCATCTTGAACAACTGCGACATGGTCAACTATTCCTAAGCTTTGAAGCCATTCTTTAACCTACCAAGCAACATTAATCCAATGAAATCGAACAACAGTTTTAGAAAGTGAGTCAGAAAACAGAATTACAAGAACCATCATTTATCACTTGGACTAATTAAATGCGTGCAGACATAGCATTGATCAAAGGCAAACCTGCTCTTGTTTCTCATGAAGTTCATCAATAATTGCACGTTTCTGTACAGCGAAATGAAGATAGAGAACTTGTGAAGCTTTCTTCCTCAGACGCCACTTGAACTGTCAAACAAAACTACAATCAATAATACTTGAACATTTCTTGCTGCATGTCCAAAGCACGTAATAATAATACATAATCCTAAATCTTCTCTTGATTCTCAAGACAACACACATTTAGAATAAAAGGCATCCAACAAAGGAACTGGAAGAACAACAACTAGACTCTCACTCACTCACTAAAGTACTAAGAAAATGCCATCTTCTTCATGATCATACCAAATTCTAAAACTTGGCCTGGCAAGCGCCTGATCCTAACAATCAATGATTTGATTCCAACCTCAGTTAGTTTGTGCTAGACAAAAACAAGTAAAATGTTTTACATTATTTCTATGTTATTCAATCTATTCAAAACATGAAAAATACAAAATTCTAGTTCTTCTAATCTCCATTTCTTCCGATTTCTCTCCAAACAAGCCAAAAACACCCTTCATCAACAGCGCCTATACGCCTAATGGACTCACAAATTCAACATTTCCGTACCGTTTAATTTCAGAAATGGAAAAATACCCACCACCAAAATAGAAGAAAAAACCAATCTTCATCCTTTCCCCTCAATGTTTTTTTTCTAAAATCCAAATTTAAGCAAAAGAAAGAAGCAGGAAGGAAAAAATCAGGAACCTGTTTGTACTGTAACTCAATGGTGTAAGACAAAAGCATGGGACTAATATCACTGGTGTCCGGTCTCGAAACCGAAACTATCGTCGCCTTCGGCAACTCTTCGAAAATCCATTCATGTTCTGCGCCATGTATTGATGAATTGTTGCGTGGCAACGTTGACACAACCCTTGGTTGCATTTTATCATCATCAGAACGCAATCTGTCCACAATGAGCCTCTCCGTTGACATAGAAAAACTCTTGGTTGAAGCCTTTCAAACTCACTGTAGAGTCGCTTTAGCATGTCCGTGTTTGGAGAGATAGAGAGAAAGAGAGAAGGTTTTGGTTCCGTGAAGAGGAGTTTGCAGAGAGAAGAAGGTAGTTTTTTAGTTAAAATGAGTGTTTTAAGTTTTTGTAAGTACCGGGAAGCTAAAGAAAGGTGACAAAGCCATTGTCTTACGGAAGTGACATGGGTTTTTCATGAAACTGAGTTTTGGTGAGAACACGTGGTGATGTGGGTAGGGTTTGGGTTGCTTGATTACACATGGCACTTGTCAAAGGTGGTTGTATAAATTTTGTGTGAGTTTTTTTTTTTAATCATAGGGTTGTTGAAATTTCACATTTCTTGTTTTCTTTTGCTAAGTGAAAGCTTGTGTGATAGAACACAAACATAATAATTTATAGACAAAGGATGTGAAATCCCTATTTTACCCTTGTGAAATTATTTAATATTGAATTAAATTATGCTTTCCTTTAGCTTAAATTAATGATCCTTGATCAAAAATCATATTACCCACAAGATTATATTAAACTAATAATAGAGGTGTGATCAAGTGTCCTTCAACTATCAAATCTTTCTTCATTTTTAATTTATATAATTTTGGCCCTTTAAATCAAAATTTCAAACCTATGAGGGTAATTTAGTCAATTCTAATGTGTCCATGAGCATGGCATAATCCAACAATAGAATCACTTACAAGAATATCCTTCTTTATGTTATGTGCTTCCAAGCACCAAAGAATATGCTGACAAAGAATGATTACTATAGTACAAGGTACAACTTACAAATCCTAATCAGGGTAAGATTAATTTAATTAATTAAAATATGAATTGGAATATGGCATAAAGTTAACACTAATTATTCTCTATTCCACTTAAGAAAGCCAGAAATTAAAGAAAGAAAATTAAATTAATGCATGTTTGAAAACATCTTGTCCTACTTGACTTCATTTTCTGGCTTGGTGGATGTAACTTGCCCAAGTTGGTGTTAGCATATATTGACTGACTCGTCGTTTATCCCAAGTAGGATAGGGAGGCGAAATCCGTAAACGTGATTTGAATTTACAGTTCGCACCTTGAGGTCGTTTTCTTAACTGGGTTAGTAGCTGAATCAACCCTTTTGTTGTTGTTTGGTTTTGGACACTAACGACTCTCATGTGTAAAATATTAAGAGAGTCTTAAAAATTACACGTAATAGTTTCATAAGATTTGAATACGGTGCTGAAAATATATAGGTTGTAGAAAAATAAATAGAAGATTGGTAAGAGAGATTTTTAAAGTGGTTCGGATGTTTAAAACGAATCCTACATTCACTATTATTGTATTATTCTCTGGCTATTTATATGATATTGCCCGTAAGACATACAAAGATGAAAAAAAACTTTGTTTACAGAGAAAAATAATGAAGCTCAAAATCTATGCTTAGCTTTCATCTGTCCAACCTCCATTTTCGTGAAGAGAGATGTCAATTTATACACTTTTGATATCAATGTAATGAGTGTTTTGTAAGTTGCCTTGACACATGGACAACTCTCATCCGTTCTTCTCTTAAAATGAGATAGAGTTGGTATAAAATAGAGCTGGGCATTTGGGATCGGGCCCAAAAGCCCAGCTCCAAAATCCGGTCCTAGGACTGGTCCTTGAGAGGACCGGACCTAGGAGGCCTGGTCCCAAAACCGGACCAGGCCTAAGGAGGAGGGCTCGGGCCCTCCACTGGACCCTCCTCCAAGGCCTGGGCCGGGGCCCAAATTTTTTTGTATTTTTTCAATACAGTCCCCTATCAAATTACATAAAACCCCCTGTTAATTTTAAATAAATATAAATTACAAGGGTTAAAATGAAATTTTACAAAATTTATTAAAAAAAAAATCTTCCAGGTCTAAAAAATTTATAAATTTTATAAATTTTACCCCTAAAAACCCCCTGTAAAATTTTGTTTTGCCCCCAAAATATAAAAAAAATTGAGGGGAGAAAATGAAATTATCCAAGCCCATGGGACCGGTCTTGGGCCCATGGGACCTGTCCCGACCAGGCCTAGGGCCTGGTCCGGGTCCTGGTTTTTCTCATGGGCCTGGGACCCATGAGTGACTGGTCCCATTTGGGACCGGTCCCAAACCGGCCCAGGCCTGGGCCTGCAAGGGACCGGTCCCTTGCCCACCTCTAGTATAAAATATCTTTGAGGCAGTATGGGCTTGATAGGAAGTACAATTTTTCTTTTAGACACTTGTTGAGTTGACATCAGCGTAACTTTTTAGGCATAACACCTTTAATCTGTTTATATATATATTGTATGGTGACGAAGAATCAAACTTACTCCGAAATGATTTACGTTTGTAGTTCACAACTTGAGGCTGTTTTCTTAACTGGGTTAGTGTCTAAATCGAGCCCTTGATTTGTTTACATATCATAATTGTATAGTGACAAAGAATCAAACTCACTTCAGAGTGATTTGAGTTTACAGTTCATACCTTGAAGTCATTCTCTTAACTGGGTTAGTACCTGAATTAGCCTCTTTAATTTGTTTATGCTATTTTGCATCTTTTTTTTTTGGTTGAAACACGATCAAACTTTTGTTTGAATCAACCCCTTTTATTTGTTTTTTCTAGTTTACATCTGTTTCATGGCTGGAGCAAGATCAAGTTGGTAGTATTGATTACAGGAAATAATGAGGTTAACTGATGAAAAACTGAGAAGGAAAATTTTCTGTATGAATATGTCACTATCAGTGGTGATGAAATGAAGTAGGGAAAGTGTATAAAAAAAGGGAAAACTCTTGGGGGCTACCAACCAAAGTCATCCATAACCATAAGTCATCTAAAAGTATAAATTAAGCTGCCAAATTTATGGTCATAGTTTCACCTGTTGAAACTTTTGTTTGCTGGCATTGCTTCTCTTTCTGGGGGATTGATAATGAAGGCCTATTTAGGTTTAGCATAAAGGATCATTTTCCAGAACGATGCTTTAAGCTAAATTAAGAACCAGTGCGACACGACAAAAGATTTTCATGAACTTTATAGGCTTAATTACCTTGACTAATTAGCATGCAGATCAAAATCAACAATTACCTCACAGTTCAGATCCATATTTTCTGCCATGTGAAACACAAGTCATATTGCTATTATTTTTAAAGGCAATAGTTGCCTGCAAAATTCTTTCCATTTCATGTTCATTTCAGTTTTCAAAAAGTATTAGATATGTTCAAGATCAAGATCAAAGTGATTGACACAAAACCTACGGCTCTGTGTGGATCTGTCTCTTGTTGAATTGAATTTTAAATGTGAAATACAGCTATTTTAACATCTAACTCAAGACTCACCTCAACAGAGCCTTAGTTTTATAAAAATTGTTTGAAAACTCACTAGGGAACACCCAAAGTTGCAATGAAGCTAACTGAATTGATTTCACCTAGCTTGAGAGTCATATTCAATCAGAGCTCCAGTTTCGACAAAGACAGTGAACCTTGGCTAGAGAAGCCATATAATCGTCAGACCTGAAACAAAAAAATGTACACAGTGAACAAATTAAGGCATATTTAAACAGCTTAAATACTGTGATGAATGTATTCTGGATTCCTACATTTGTCCATAAGGAGACTGACATGCAGCAAGAATGTGAACCTTCGCTTCATCTGCTTTCTTCTGCAAATAGAAAATCGCCGCATAAGTAAACATTTCCTTTAAACTGCGCAAATGCAACTTGAAAAAGAAAGATCCATTTCATATATTGTCCAATATTACCATAGAAATTTTGTCAAAACTGGATTTTCTTTTGTTGATTTGTCCTAAGTGACTATAGCGTTTGCATCTTATAAAGGAATTAAAAAGTTACTGGATTTTGCTTTTTATGGTAACCTCTTCCACAAACTTTTGTTGATACATCCTCATTGGCAGTGCTGTTGGCTAGATAAGAACTCAAGGTTACTATCCGTCTTCTTATGAATATGAACCTTTGAATTATCCATCATAAACTTATATATTTCATCCAGGAAGTCAAAGAGTTTCACTTCAGTTTTCTTCCTGTGCCATTGTGATAGCAGCTGTAGTATTCACCAATATTGGTGTAAGTGGCTTTTAACGTGATTAGGATATATATATCAACAACTTTTGTATCTTCAAAAGGAAATATCATTAGCAAGTGAGACTGAAAATTCAACTCATTAAACAATGACTTCAAATGAACGCTACATGTATTGGGTTTGTGCAAGTTATACTGACATATCTGTCTTTGTTTTTCAGTGGATAATTGATGTTATTCAATATTAAAAGCTAATCAAGAAGTCAATTTTAGTCTACTTCTTGTAGATATGAGATTAGAGTACAAAAATTTGGAGTGTTTGTAAGCCATACCAAAACAAGAATATTGCTGGCAAGTCCATATATATAGCAAAAAAAGCATATTGAGGTTCAGCACATACCTGAGATTCATAATAAAGCCCAGCATATAAAGAGGCATAAAAGAACTCATTCTCCTGGCCATTTGAAAATGCAGCAACGAGCTATGCAGAAAAGATAACTGTCAGTCAACTGAAGATCTTGCAATAAATGGAACCACAAAGATTAATTTGCAATCTGAACATCACTGTAGCATATTATCAGTTTCTTACCTAATCATGAGTTTTGCAAGTTAGTAACGACCAGGATAAACATCCAGCTGCCAAATAAGTGGAAGCATCCAAATCTTACTGCCTACAGCTATAAACAAAACTCAAGGACTTTCGTACATAAACTACCACAAGTTTACAATTTATTCTCCCTATTAAACCCAATCTTGAGGCTGCAATGTGAAAATTTTCTTGAATTGTTGTTGGATACAGAGTAGTTAGGCTACGATTCACTTGGAAACCATATAAATCATCTTGGATTGGCTGACACAAGTATTCAACAACGACTTGAGGATGTATTAAAGGTGCATAAAGAAAACAATGGTTTTTATGACACAGCTCAGATGGGAATGTTGTAAAATGTATGTACATCAATAATTACCTTTTCTGGATCACCACCATCTTTGAACATGTTATAAGCTTCCCTCATGATGGGCCGAGGATCTCTACCGACCTGCATTCAGCTTTTAAACTTTTAGGTTCGTTGTATTCAGCATTTCTCTTGCAAAGATAATCCATATAAAGTCAGACATTTAGAAAGGCCCAGTGGTGAATATTCTGAATTGAACTCCAGAATAAACTGAGCTTATTCCTTAAAAGGATCATGTAACTTTCTAATTTATAAGTTCTTAAGAATATTCTCATTTCACTGGCAATCTCATCCTTCAGTGAACAGGCTTAGAAACAACTTGCCTCGAGGAATCGTTTCCGAGCTCCATCAACTCCATATAGTTGAGCTTCACAGAGAAAGCACCATATTGACTCCTCTGTATCATTTGGATTTTGAGCAACATCTAACCGGAACTGCTCTGCACCTTCTTCAAACCTGTTGAGATGGCAAAATTGAAATCAATATATTCACAACAATCTCAATTATAAACCATTCGATTGTACTTTAGTAGCTCCTTTTCTCTATATGCTATAAAAAGTTCAAATTCTAATAATCAAAATCTTATTACTCATCCTTTCCCACATTTTCCGGGCAACCAAACAACAAAGAAAGAAAGAACGAGACAAAAAATGTTAGTACCTATCAAGATAGTAAAGCGACAGTCCCCTTTGCCAAAGATCTAAACAATAACCAACACACAACTTAATTCATCATAATTGAACAAACGGCACAACAGCAATCAACATTTATGAATACAAACAAGCATAAATTTAGAAACATACATGCCTTTTGTCGAGGATCCAACTCAATTGCCTTATCAAATTCCACTAAAGATCCCAAAACATCACCCTTAACAATGACAAAAACATCATAAAAATTAAATAAATCAAAACCACAACAATCCAATTGCATAAAAATCAAAACTTTACATTACAATGTAAGCCAAGTAAAACACATATTCACCTGTCTAAAGAGTAACATTCCACGGCGAATGGCCATAACAGCTTCACGAGCATTGTTGGTGCCACCAGTCAAAGCATCCCAGATCGAAGAAACAGAAGGAAGGAACAATCTTCTGGTGAAAGTTGGCGCTGAGTTGTGAAGACTCTGGACTGTTCTTGGGCCAAAGAAGAGGGTTTTAGTGTGAGCTTTGAGTGAAAGTGGAGGTGTAGAAGGGTTTAAAAAGTGAAAAAAGGAAGATGAAGAAATGGGTTTTAAGTGTTGTTGGGTTAAAGCCATTAATGTGAAAGAGTTGGAGGATTGGTAATTGGGGAAGGTAAGAGAAGATAAGAGATAAGGCGCCAAAAGTAACTGAAAGTTTATGGTCACAACAAACATTGATTTTATATATGAAAAAAAATATAAATATATATTATTTTTAGTGTATTTATATTTTATATGGTCAAATTTGACAAATTATATAAATATATAAAGTTAATGTATTATATGTTACATATACTTTATGTGAAAATGTGATAAACAATTATGTTGTGATCATGAAATATATTAGGGTCCGTTTGGTTTATTATTATGATAGTTTTTAGAATAATATTTAAAAAAAAGTTAAATTGGACAGGTATTACGATGTAGAATTTAAAAATTAACAAAAATACCCCTTATGTTTTTTTATTTACTAAACACCCTATAATAAAATATTAAAAGTTAACAAAAATACCCCCAACTCACCCATTAAATACATATAGCCGGCCACCACCACCATAAGGTGGTTAGAGTGTTTTTGCAATTTCTAAAAAAAGTATTTGGGGTATTTAGTTAAATTAACAAATTTATAAGAGTTTAAAATAAATAGAATAATATGTTAAAAATAAGCATTTTTACTGTTTAACTTTATTGGGAATACTATTATTAGTATTCCCAAGAGTGAACCAAACAGATCCTTAGTTTTTTCTTTGTTTTGTCAAAGTCTAAATGTGGGTAAATTGAGATGTTGGAGGAAATTAATTATGTATGTTGATTTAATCGGGTTGAAACTCCATCGAGAGTTCTCAGCATTTATCAAATCTGTTCCCATCTAATGGAGAGTTATTGGATCAAATGCCAAGACATTGTTGAGGAAAAGATGGCTTTTCTCGGATGAAATGAAAATTGGATTTATGTAATATGAAATTAATCATGTATGTCGATTTAATTGGGTCTAAACTCCATCTGAGAGTTATCAATATTCATCAAACCCGTTCCTATCTAATGGAACGCTATTGGACAAAAAAATACCTCCATAAATATTTTGAAAACGAATGTGTTTAAACTTTAAAATGCCCATTAAATTAACTTACTAAATCAATCCAAAACTAAGCACAATCACATAAAAGTTTTGGATGTATTATACAGTGAAGTCATGGTTATGCAAGTATGCCATTAGGATAAGCATACAACTAGGACCATTTCAAAATCAAATTTGTTTGAAAGCTAAATCCAAAAAAGCAATTTTTTGTGGGCTAGTAAGGCTTTGATTGTTAACCACCACCAGGTGACCCAACTGTCAACTAAGACTCTTAGATATATTACTGAATTCGATTCACCTTGGTTGCTAATAGGGATGACCGCTGAGAAGATTTACCCTTCAATCAACTTCAGAGTCTCAAATGATTAGTTAAGATGTACGTAAGTTAGCTTGGACACCTTTGGCCACCCCAAAAAAAAAAAAAAAAAAAGGCTTTGGTTGTCAAAGTCAATTGGGCAATTTAGGCTTTATCAAACAGATCAACCAGGTCAAACAGTGTACAAATTTGAAGCCTACTGCCTATTTTGAGCCAATTAAAGTGGCCAATCTGGTCCAAAACCCAAAGTTAGGCTACAACCCATGTGGGTTTGAGCTAATTTTTTGGGTTTCTTGATTAAATATAACTTTGAATCCTTGATGTGATAGCATACGTGTTAATACCATATTAATACAAGATATTAAACGATGTTATAGTTTATTATAATTAATGTGATATTACACAAAATCAATGACATCAGTAGAGATTTAATTTGAAATTTTAATTTTATATACATAATATTACTTAATTTTCAAAAGAGTAGTGTTATATAAACCCCACAAAATCTTTTTTTCTTTTTTTAAAGAAAGGAGGGTATTCAAGTCCCTATAGGCGATTAGCACAAGATCCCGCCACAAAATTCTTTCTAAAAACTATAATTTATTTTCTAAGATTACATTATCAACACGCAATATTTATGTCACACGATTTAAATTATTGTAGGTTGGCAAATGTAATAGTTGACAAGAAGGGTTGATTAAATAACAATTAAATGAAACTTAAAGGACCATAATTTTATTATTTTAACTTTACTTTATACAATCACAATCTTCAACAAGAAAAACATGGATCCCAATCTTTACAAGAAAAACATGCCTATCACTTTCCATTGATTGCGTCTTAATATTTAAAAAATGAAAAAAAAATATTTAAGAAGGGTTGCGTCTTAATATTTAAAAAATGAAAAGATTTGGCCTTTTACGCCCTACCTGTCAGATCCGATCGATCTGCATCATAACGCCATTTTCCGATCAGATTCCAACGGTGGTGGTCGAAATCTAACATTGTGGGTGAGTGGAGGTGTTTTTGTTATTTTACAAAAATTTTATATATTGGGGTGTTTAGTTAAATTAGTAAACCTATGAGATTTTTTTTATTAATTTTTAAATTTTACCTCGTAATACTCTCATATTCAACTACCCAATATTATTCTTAAAATCCTATATAAAATAACAAAACAAACAAATTCGATGTGTTTATGTAGAAATTAGATAGACATTAGATACGCTCTAGTGTAGTGGTTCAAATCCAGGATCACGTAATCTATTAACAATGAATTTCATATTCACGAGAAGATGTCGAGTTCAGAACGAAACCATCAATAAATTCTATTGAAAAGTCGTTCATTATTGTTTGTAGAATAACAAGTCTATTTATACTAAAGTATATTTTTCCTACATCAGCATGTATCATAATGTCCTCATAATGAGGGCACTCCCACAATTTCCTGCATGATATATGTCTTTGATAATTCTGACCCGAAATGGAAGAAGAATGAAGAGCAACTCCTTCACCAACATGTTGCCAGAAGATTGTGTTTCTAAAATTCTCTCTTTGACTTCTCCACTAGATGCCTGCAGATCTTCTCTTGTTTCATCCACCTTCAGATCAGCCATGGAGTCTGATATTGTTTGGCAAAAGTTCTTGCCTTCTCATGGTGATCTTCAAAACATCATTTCAAGATTGGTCACTCCTTTGAGGTTTTCTTCCAACAAAGAGCTTTTTCTTTGTCTCTGTCACCCCGTTCTTTTGGATTCTGGAAAACTGGTAAGCTATACTCTGTTTCTGATTCTCCCCCTGGATGTTTTGACTAAGCTTCTGCTAAAATGTGTCTCCTGTAATGTAGAGTTTCAAGTTGCAGAAATCATGTGGCAGAAAATCTTATGTGTTATCTGCAAGATCACTTTCAATCACTTGGAGCAATAATCCCATGTATTGGTTCTGGGTACCATCTCCTGAATCCAGGTATTTTAAGCTACGACCATAACAAATTTCTGATGGTATAATGTCCTTGGAAAAAAAAAATATGATAAAACAAGTATCATCTTCTCCACAGGTTTGCAGAAGTTGCAGTGCTGAGAACAACCGACTGGCTAGAAATTGAAGGCAAGATAAAGACTGAAATTTTGTCACCAAACACAACGTATGGAGCTTATCTCATAATCAAAATCAGCAATCTTGCATATGGGTTTGATTCAGTCGCTGCAGAGGTGTCAGTGGAAGCCGGGGATGGAGTGTCCAGCGGTGGCAGGGCTTATCTAGTGCTCGATCATCATGATCATGATCATGACCAAGATCACAAGACAATGCTAAGATCAACACCGTTGATTCAAGTTGATGAGGATCGAAGAATCCCATGTGAATCAGAAAATGGATGGATGGAGATTGAGTTGGGAGAGTTCTGTAGTGGTGGTGATCATAAAGAGGTTAAAATGAGTCTGAAAGAGGTTAAAGGTTATCAACTAAAAGGAGGGCTTATAGTCGAAGGCATTGAAGTGAGACCCAAACAATAATAAATCCAAAAGTTGTTCCAAATAAATAAATTCAATTACATATGAGCAAATTTTAGATGATAATACAAGAAAGTTTGATTGAATTTTTGTTATTTTATTTTTTATGTTACTGATAAAATATAAATTATCCCATATGAAACAATCTAATAAAAATATAATATGAATACAATAATGACAATCCGACCCATCTGTGGATAGCCCAGATGATTAGAGCAAATTGGGGAGAGTCTGGATAGGTGTACAGTTTCATATTCAATTCCCTATTTGAGCATCCGTGATTTAAGTGGGAGCCATGACTGTGGGTTGCTGCGTTAGTCTTTTCCATTTACGATCTTATCTGGGAATAATTTTTTTTCTCTTTTATCACTAGTGGTATAGTTCAACTTAATGGTAGAAACTTTCCCGAGGTTAGCTGCTTGTTTTATTTTAGGTTTTTACTTTATACTACTGAAAAAGAGATATGCAAGTTGTGAAATTAAAACTTAATGCCATATATGTGCCCACACTATGTCAACACTTTCTGGTTTTCAACCAAATTTGGTTGAGAATTTTAACCATTGGGATGCCCGGTTGGTAAGGCCAATAAGAACAGCTATATATCACATTTGTCACATGATCATAATCAAAGTAAAAACTAAAAAAAATAAAAAAGCCTAATATTGTGATATTTACACACATATTCTTAATATATATACATATGTTAAAGCCTAATAATTTAAAATTTTAACTTAATTTAATATATTCTTTTGTGAAAAAGATTGAAATTATAAAGAGTAATAAACACGTGTAAACTAAACATGCAAACTCTAATATTTAAATTGATGTGGTATAACTTTTTTATTGCTACGTAAATTTGTATGAAAGAGTTTGTATATCTAATTGACAAACAGACTAAGGTAGAACTCAAGCCCAAAAACGAGAAAGGAGTTCAACTATATATATATACATCATAACAGTCCACTAAAATCAACTTCTCTTCTGACATCCTCATTCACACTTGGTGTGCATCCCAACACACTCCTCACTCACACTCGGTATGCCATCCTAAGAGTTCAATAAATTGACCAACTTCTAACACTCTCGCTCACGACGCTCGGTGTGTTGTTCGAACCCATTGAGAAGGGAGCTCAACCACATATGTACACCATAACAGTATATTAAATTTAACTTTTAACACTCTCACTCACGCTTGGCATACATGGCCAAGGCCAAGGTCAAAACCTACCAAGAGCCACCTTACCCTTTGCTTGGCTGATAAATGGGTTTGCCTAAAAACTAGTTTAAGAGGGGAGAGAGTCCAACCACATATATACATCATCAGTCTACCAAATTAGTTTACGTGGAACAAATACAACTTCTAACATTAACCTATGTTTGGCTTACTATTTTTATCCAGATTCTGGATCCTATTCTCCAAATAACGTTTGGCTTATTATTCCAAGAAATTACCTTATTTTTTTAATTACTTTTAGACCCCATAAGGTTATTAATTTCATCAAATACACCCTAAAAAAAGTTTAAAAATTATCAACACACCCCTAACCCATACTCGCCAGATTCCGGCACCACCGTCGTGGTACCGAAATCTATACAACGGCCAACCTGCCGCCCATAAATGGCCGAAAGTTCACGGATTTGCCTTTTCCGGCCAGATCACCACGGATTTGGTCGGAAAGGCCAGTCTGGCCGTGAACGACGCCAAAGAATGGCCGTCGTTGAGGTCAACGACGGCCAAATCTGGCCTGTTGACCCAAACGACGGCCAAAGAGGCAGTCGTTTTGGCCTTTTCGGTCGTCAACGACCACGGCAGGCCGTAATCTGGCCTTTTCCGGCCAGATCTGTGGTGATCTGGCCGGAAAAAGCCATAACGACTCGTTACGACACAATCCGACCACGATTTTCCGGCCAGATTTCGCTGTGGGCCAGATCTAGCACTGCAGGTGGTGGGGGTATTTTTGTCAATTTACATATTGGGGTATTTATGAAATAGCAAACTTATGGGTTTTTTCTATAAATTTTTAAATTTTACCTCGTAATACTCCCATATTCAATATCCAATACATCCCCAAAATCCTACCAATAATAAACTAAACGTATACCACTTATTCATTTATAAAAGACAATCTATGGAGGTTGTTGATAGAGGAAGAATTTATCAAGTAACATCGAGAATATTCATTAAATTGATTTGAGAATTTTTGCTTGGGGTAGCGGTAATGCATACCTTAGTGGGTGTGTCATAATTAGTTCAATTCATTTGATCTATTGAATTGACCATGATTTGGTAAGTCAATTTAAATGTCCAGTCAACTCTAATTTTAACTCAAACTCTTTTGTTAATTTCTTAGACCACCAAATTGAACCCCCCCCTTCATATTAATAATTAACCATTATTGGTTTTTGACGTTGACTGAATCCAACCACTTACTTAACGACACAGCTTCATTAATTGAATTGTTCATAGATAAACAAAGTCAAAGCACTACTGTAATTGGTCAACTCTAGATAATAACAATTAATACGCCCATAGATACTTTCTCCGGAAAGGGTTAAATTCTGCTTATTAGATAATTACATTTTCATCCTTATAGTTTTGGTTGACTGAGTTAAGGACATTTTTTCATATACAACATTTTGATCCTTTGACCGAAGAACCATTAATTGAATTAAAAATTAAATGAAATGAAAAAAAATATCACTATTTTAATGAATAATCCCTACACCTAATAGACGAAGTTAATTATAGCTACTTTCGAGACTCGCACACAGATCTTTGGATAGATTTAACTCTAATGACTAAAGGTATCATCCAACCATAAGGAAGAAGTGTATGTTTTTTTTTGGCTAACTTTGATGGGAAAAGGTTCGATTCATTATATTGTTTTGTGTATGCATTTTTCCTTCATTTGTTGAGGGTTATTTTTCATCATTTTAGTAAGAATTTCAAGTCAATCACATTAATCTAACGGTCAAACAAAGTTCTGTCAAGTCAAAGGACTAAAATGGTAGTAATTGAAATAAATATCCTAAACGGAACAGATCAAAATTATGAGATGAAACTGTAATTCTCTCCTCTTGCCTCGGGTAAAAGAATTCGACCATGTGATTAATGACCATTATTAATATTATCTCTTTAATTTGCAAATTAGAATTTAAATAACCAATAAAATGTAAACAAAATTGTGCAAATTATTAACAAAGAGAAAAACCACTATTCCCAGTGAAGTTTTAGCGAAATCTCAAGCTAATTCTTTGGTTGTATTTATTTCAATTTTCATACTTAATAACGTCTTTTATTTTATTTTAATAGATTTTAACTTTTTTACTGTAATGTGACGCACTTTAACACGTTAAGTGTTTCAGCGCTTTTTTTGACATAATATGACTCATTAGTAGTATTCAAGCCAATATTTTTGGTTTTTTTTCTGGCGATTTCTAAGTCTAAAATCACTTTAGGATCACTGTTTGACCCTCCCCCCCCCCCCCCAATCTTCTCTACAAAACTCTTATCTTTACTTATCCGACCTTACTCACTGTTTTCAATCACTTTCAACAATTACTAATAATATTAGTTTAGGGTAAGAATCAAAATAAATTCAACCAAAATATCAACTTTAAATTTTGCTAACCGTGGGTGAAATACTATCATTGACTCTAAAATAACACGTGATGCAGGCTGGACGGTTTTAAGACTCAAAGAAAAAAGAGACAGTCCTTAATTACCATCTGTCATGTTTAAGTTGAAACGAAATTATCATATTAATTAATCACTTATTAATTAACTTCACATTAATTATTAATTATTAATCATCTTATATTATCTCAACCATTAATTTAATTAATATAATCATCTTTCAACTTATATCACTTGCATATTTAAATGCAACTTTTGAAGGTCATTCAACTATCGGAAATTTCGTGGCTCTCAAACATTTCAAACTTTAGATTTACATATATATGCAGATTAATGTTCATCCATTTTAACATTGAGTTTTTTTTGGTTCAAATTTGGTTAAGTAAGTGGTAATGGAGATGAACAAGTTGCCAAAGGGTGTGTTTCTACGATTATCTCCCTCACTTCTCCGGCAGATGCATGCAGATCATCGTTGGTTTCGTCGTCGTTTCGATCGGCGGTGGAGTCCGATGTTGTTTGGGAGAGGTTCTTTGCCGTCTGATTACCAGATACTATCTCCAGGTCAGGTGAAAATAACGTGAACTTCTCTTCGAAGAAAGAGTTGTTTCTTCATTCTGCAATGCAGTTCTCATAACGGTGGTGAGAAGGTAAATATTTAATTAGCATTATTAACATTATTAAAACTCCATTTTTTTCCCTTTCATTTTGCTTGACCTGACATGACATGAATGCATGTATTAATTTAATGCAGAGCTTCAGATTGGAGAAGTCTCTTCGGGAAAAAATGTGTTTTATACTGTCGCAAGAGAGCTTTCCATAACATGGAGTGACAATCCGAGTTCTGGATATGGAAATCTTCAACCGAATCAAGGTCCTTTTTTAGTTAGGATGTTATTTTTCACTCTGTTATGTGCGTATACAGATCAATTCAGAATTCAAACTGAAAAACTTTGTTTTTTAATCAGGTTTGCACAGTGGCTGGCTAAAAAGTGTAGTAGTTAGAGATTGAAGGGAAGATCAGGACCCAGAAGTTGTCACCAAACACAAGATATGGAGCTTATCTTATAATGAAAACAAACAGCGGCGCATATGGGCTCGATTTGGTGCCTGCAGAGACATCGGTGGAGGTGGGGAGTCAGTCAGTTTCTTCAAACAAAGCTTACCTGACTAACCAAGATGCCAAGAAACAACAAATGGAGTGTTTATTTTACAGCAATCGAAGGCAAATGTTGAAGCCGAGATTCCTTGATTCAGGAATTAATGGTGTTACTGAAAGGAAAGATGGGTGGATGGAGATTGAAGTGGGAGAGTTCTTTAATGGGGAAAGTGATGAGATGGTGAAGATGAGTGTGAGAGAGACAAAGGGTTTTCAACTTAAAGGAGGGCTTGTGATTGAAGGCATTGAAGTGAGACCTAAAAAATAATAATATTAATGGAAGAGAACAAAGA